TGCAGTGGCGCAATCTCAGCTCACTGCAAGCTCCGCCTCCCGGGTTCACGCCATTCTCCTGCCTCAGCCTCCCGAGTAGCTGGGACTACAGGCGCCCGCCACTGCGCCCAGCTAATTTTTTCTATTTTTAGTAGAGACGGGGTTTCACCATGGTCTCGATCTCCTGACCTTGTGATCCGCCCGCCTCGGCCTCCCAAAGTGCTGGGATTACAGGCGTGAGCCACCGTGCCCGGCCCAGTTCATTGTTTCTCACTAGTGGCTAGTTTGAAACATGGGGTGACTGAAAAATAGTGAGGCTGCTTTACCTGAAGTATTAATTAAGACACTAATTTTGGTCAAACTTAGTACTAGGCATTAATAGAACTAAGAAACTGTGAAAGAAATGGAAAATATTGAGATCCTTTTCTATTTCTTTAGAAAGATGTACATGATACAATTACAGAACAGAATAAAGGAAATGATCTGATTAATGCTGTAATGAAATATTTGTGAATTATGAAAATTAAAGATATAAAAGATGCATATGGCTTATTGGCAGATTATTTATTTGGTCCATTTGTAGAGCGCCCCAAGTATGAGAACTGCTTTTATGTCTTTATAGTTTAAGGAAGCTATTTGCAGCTACACTTAGAATTAGCTTTCTCTTCTCTATACTTAACTACTGATCCTAGGTTTTCTCCTTTTATTTTGTCAGATAATGTTATTGCAGACTCAGTTTCCCCAACTTTATTTGAGAGTGTGTAGAACATGTCAGTAGGCTGTACTGTGCTGTGCACAACTTTCAAAATCCTGAAGTCCTATTTATGACTTCTTGATTGTGTTTGACCTCATTTGTGAATTTGCATTAGTAATAGTACTCTGACTGGGCACACTTGGCTCATATCTGTAATCCCAGCACTTTGGGAGGCCTAGTCAGGAAGATCTCCTGAGCCCAGGAGTTCAAGACCAGCCTGGGCAACATAGTGAGACCCTGTCTGTGCAAAAAAAAAATTGTTTTAATTAGCTGGTGTGGTGCTGCATGCCTGTAGTCTCAGCTACTTGGGAGTCTGAGGTGGAGGGATTGCTTGAGCCTAGGAGTTGGAGGCTGCAGTGAGCTATGATTGCACCACTGCACTCTAGCTTGGGTGACAGAGCAAGACTCTGTCTCTAAAAAAAATAAGAATAATAATAATCAAATTATAATAGTACCCAATTAAAATACAAAGGAGCTATGAAATGGGGTTTGTAAAAATGATCTAGGCAATATCTTATGAAATTTAAAGTACTATGAAAATATTATATGAGAGTAGTTTATGCACAGTTTATCATAATTGCTCAGAATCTTTTCAAGAAAAATTCTCCTGTCTGGTGATTCGTATATATTTTTATTGTTGGGTTTTTTGTTTTGTTTTGTTTTGTTTTGAGTCGGGGTCTTGCTATGTTGCCCAGGCTGGTCTTAAACTCCTGGGCTCAAGCAATCTTCCTGCCTCAGCCTCTTGAGTAGGTGGGATTACAGGCACAGGCCACCATGCTTGCTTGGCTCATATATATTTTCTATGTATAAGATTGTCACTCTTTTTTTTTATACCATACATATATACACATTTATATCTCAATGAGTTAATCTCAGAACTGTAGAAATTCAACCCTAGCTTCAATCTCAGAAGACCAATGGAGTTTTTTGTTGGTTTGTTTTGTTTTGAGACAGAGTGTCGCTATGTTGCCCAGGCTGGAGTGCAGTTGCATGATCTCGGCTCACTGCAATCTCCGCCTCCCGGGTTCAAGCCATTCTCCTGCCTCAGCCTCCAGAGTAGTTGGGATTACAGGTGCCTGCCATCACGCCCAGCTAATTTTTGTATTTTCAGTAGAGACAGGGTTTCACCATGTTGGCCAGGCTAGTCTCGAACTCCTGACCTCAGATGATCCACCTGCCTCAGCCTCTCAAAGTGCTGGCATTACAGGCATGAGCCACCGTGCCCGGCCTAAAGTATTATTTTTATTGCACTGCCCTGTTCATTTTGGCTGATGTAGTTAGAATTACATGTAATAATGAGGTGACTGGTTTTTGGTTTTTTGTTTGGTTTTTTTTTTTTTTTTGGGGAGACAGAGTCTAGCAGTCTGCCTCTGTCGCACAGGCTGGAGTACAGTGGCACGATCTTGGCTTACTGCAACCTCCACCTCCCAGATTCAAGCAGTTTTCCCACCTCAGCCTCCTGAGTAGCTGGGATTACAGGCGCCCACTACCACGCCTGGCTGATTTTTGTATTTTTAGTAGCAACAGGGTCTCACCATGTTGGCCAGTCTGGTCTCGCTTTCCTGACCTCAGGTGATCATCCTGCCTCGGCCTCCCAAAGTGCTGGGATTATAGTTGTGACCCACCACACCTGGCCCGATTTTGGATATAGGTTATCATCTCCCTGTTATTTGACATTTAATATAATTTTTACATTTGCTTTTCTTATGGTCACTTTTGGGTCCATTTACTAAGAAGTAAATTTTGAAAAGTGAATTACTATAAATTTTAGATTTCAAAATCACTTTCAAAATATACTAGAAAATTGCCATCTGTCTAAATTTATTTTAGAATAATTAAAACAGAAGTATGAGATAAATTCCTTAAGGAAAACAGCACCAATAGAACCTAATGCTTTTTCCCAAGGTAATTTTAGATTTGCGCTTATGCTAAGAGTTTAGATCTAAACCCAAATTGCCTGTCTTGGATTAGCCTGAAAGATCCTCAGGACCCTGGTTGCATTTGGGAGCTATTCCAGGACATTAGTTAGGTGTATTTTTCCTGGGCTGGACTTAGGACAAGCTTTGCATGTCCATGAGCTTTACATACCCATGTCCAACTAATAGTATTCCTGACATGAAGTGAAATAGATATAAACATTTTAGCTGACCCTGGAACCACATGGTTTCTTGGTGTCTTTGGACTAGAGATTGACTCTAAATCTCCCATGACTAATCCAAATTCATTTTGCATTGTATTCAGACCAATTTCTATAGTTTTCCTAGAACTTAATGGGTCTCATTAAGTGATTTGAACTTACTTGATTTCTCAAAAAGACTTTTTTTCTTTATCAGTTTATATAGTTATTTTCAGCCTGCTTACATGTCACTTTAGGTGATGTGAAAATATAAAAACTAGGTATCTTAAGGAAGGACATTCTTATTAGATGTTGAATCTTATTCATATAGAATTAAAATTACCTCAGTGGAAGAGGGGTAGAGTTTCACTTCTCATAGGCTTGATTTTTTTTTTTTTTTTTTGAGATGGAGCTTTGTTCTTATTGCCCAGGCTGGAGTGCAGTGGCGCAATCTCAGCTCACCGCAACCTCCGCCTCCCGAGTTCAAGCGATTCTCTTGTCTCAGCCTCCTGAGTAGCTGGGATTACAGGCATGCACCACCATGCCCGGCTAATTTTGTATTTTCAGTAGAGACGGGGTTTCTCCATGTTGGCCAGGCTGGTCTCGAACTCCCAACCTCAGGTGATCTGCCTGCCTTGGCTTCCCAAAGTTCTGGGATTACAGGTGTGAGCCACCACGCCTGGCCCGCTTGATCTTTAAAAATTGGCCAGGTGTGGGCTGTGCACAGTGGCTCACTCCTGTAATCCCAGCACTTTGGGAGGCCAAGTCGGGCGGATCACCTGATGCCAGAAGTTCAAGACCAGCCTGACCAACACGGTGAAATCCCATCTCTACTAAAAATACAGAAATTAACTGGGTGTGGTGGCGGGCACCTGTAATCCCAACTACTCGGGAGGCTGAGGCAGGGAGAATCACTTAAACCCAGGGGGCGGAGGTTGAAGTGAGCCAAGATTGCATCATTGCTCTCCAGCCTGGGTGACACAACAAGACAACACCCCCCCTGCAAAAAAAAAATTGGCCAGATGTGGTGGCTTACACCTGTAATCCAAGCACTTTGGGAGGCCAAGGCAGATGGATCACTTGAGCTCAGGAGTTCGAGACCAGCCTGGGCAACATGGTGACACCCCATCTCTACAAAAAATGCAAAAATCAGCCAGGTGTGGTGGTGCATGCTGTAGTCCCAGCTACTCAGGAGGCTGAGGTGGGAGGATCACTTGAGCCTGGAAAGCAGAGGTTGCAGTAAGGTGCAAGATCGCACCACTATACTTCAGCCTGGGTGACACGGTGACCCTGTCTCAAAAAAAAAAAAAAGGAAAAAATTAGAGAAATCATAAAACCTTACTAAATATCTTTGTATGTCTTTACTTATAGGAAGATATAATAATCCTAGTATTTAATAGAATTTATGGAAAACAACAAAATGCATGAAAATTTGGAGTTTTTCAGTGAACAATTATGTGCCAGTAATTTTTTCCTGTAATCCTATATCTAGATTCTGGCAAGAAATAGATGGCATACTCAAAGGGACTTGGAAGGAATTTAATGTAAGGAATTTTTTACAGATGTATGGGCAGAGTTAAGAAAGCCAATGGGACCAGCAACAGAGGGAGCCATTCCTACCATGAGTCCTGAAAGGGGAGTTGAAGTGGGTGTCAGCAGAACTTGATGAGGGTAGTAGCTGAGAGAGAGGCCACAAGAAGGGAGCTGTGGCCAGGATAGTGGAATGTAGCCGTCACCAGTGCCACAGTCCTCAGCGGGGAAGTAAGGATAATCATTTCCCAGCCCTCTCTTTCCTCTAACCCTCTGATTGTCTGTTGGTGCCATCCATTGAGCAGATCTAACCACAAATCAGAAAGCAAGGAAGCCCAGATGGTGCAATCTGTAGAAATTAGCCTTCCAGAGCATACAGCACACCAAAGAAGGGGCAGGGATAAACCTACAGGGAGAGACTGTTCTGCAGTTTCTGAGTAGGGTAGCTTAAGTGTCATTCATTGTTATTCAGAATTATTCATTTTTCATATAAGTTGGGCAGACCTGGTCAACATCTGTGTTCTTCCTATAAATTAGAATTTGAGATGTTAAATCTCACACCATGCATCTGTATTGATATTTTACATAATTGCATTTTAATTTTTTCTCCCCCTTCTCCAGATTACAATTCCTAGACCTTCTGTGGCATCTACACAGTCAACTTCAGGAAGCTTTCACTATGGTCAGCAGCCAGAGAAGAAAGATCTTCAGCCCATGGAGCCCACTGTGGAACTTTACTCTCCAAGGGAAAACTTCTCTGGCTTGGCTGTGACAGAGGGTGAACCTCCTAGTGGAGGAAGCAGAACAGATTTGGGGCTTCAGATAGATCACATTGGTCATGACGTGTTACCCAACATTAGAGAAAGTAACAAATCTCAAGACCTGGGACCAAAAGAACTTCCTGATCATAACAGACTGGTTGTGAGAGAATTTGAAAATCTCCCTGGGGAAACTGAAGAGAAAAGCATCCTTTTAGAGTCAGATAATGAAGATGAAAAATTAAGTAAAGGGCAGCATTGTATTGAGATCTCCTCTCTCCCAGGAGATTTGGTAATTGTGGAAAAGGATCACTCAGCTACTACTGAACCTCTTAATGTGACAAAAACACAGACTTTTAGTGTGGTGCCAAATCAAGACAAAAATAATGAGATAATGAAGCTTCTGACAGTTGGAACTTCAGAAATTTCTCCCAGAGACATTGACCCACATGTTGAAGGTCAGATAGGCCAGGTGGCAGAAATACAAAAAAATAAGGTATCTAAGGATGATGACATCATGAGTGAAGACTTGCCGGGTCATCAAGGAGACCTCTCTACTTTTTTGCACCAAGAGGGTAAGAGAGAGAAAATTGCCCCTAGAAATGGAGAACTATTTCATTGTGTTTCAGAGAATGAACATGGTGCCCCAACCCGGAAGGATATGGTTAGGTCATCCTTTGTAACTAGGCACAGCCGAATCCCTGTTTTGGCACAAGAGATCGACTCAACTTTGGAATCATCCTCTTCGGTTTCTGCAAAAGAAAAGCTCCTCCAAAAGAAAGCTTATCAGCCAGACCTAGTCAAGCTTCTGATGGAAAAAAGACAATTCAAGTCCTTCCTTGGTGACCTCTCAAGTGCCTCTGATAAATTGCTAGAGGAGAAACTAGCTACTGTTCCTGCTACCTTTTGTGAGGAGGAAGTGCTCACTCCCTTTTCAAGACTGACAGTAGATTCTCACCTGAGTAGGTCAGCTGAAGATAGCTTTCTGTCACCCATCATCTCCCAGTCTAGAAAGAGCAAAATTCCAAGGCCAGTTTCATGGGTCAACACAGATCAAGTCAATAGCTCAACTTCATCTCAGTTCTTTCCTCGGCCACCACCAGGAAAGCCACCCACGAGGCCGGGAGTCGAAGCCAGGTAATGCTGTGTGCTCTCCCTGTGTTAAGTGTGTGACACCATTTCTATATCTGCTTTATTGTACTCCACCAATGGCATCATTTCTGTGTTACCCTCTTCTCAGTATCTTTCTTTCCTGCCTTTCCCAGGCCTTACAGCCTAGTGCAGTGGAAGTAATCAGATTGATCCAGGTTAATCATTTTATTTTTTCCAATTTATTGTGGTAAAATGCACATGACATAAAATTTAGCATCTTGACTTTTTTGTTTGTTTGTTTTTGAGACAGAATCTCACTCTGTCACGCAGGCTGGAGTGGAGTGGTTCAATCTCAGCTCACTGCAGCCTCTGCCTCCCGGGTTCAAGAGATTCTCTCGTGCCTCAGCCATCCGAGTAGCTAGGATTACAGGCACCTGCCACCACATCAGGCTAATTTTTTTTTTTTTTTTAAACTAGAGACAGGGTTTCGCTATGTTGGGCAGGCTGGTCTCAAACTCCTGGCCCCAAGTGAACCACCTGCCTCGGCCTCCCAAAGTGCTGGGATTATAGGCTTGAGCCACTGTGCCCGGCTGTGTCTTTTTTAAGTGTACAGTTCAGTGGTATTAAGTACATTCACATTGTTGTGTTACACTTAAGTTCTAAAGTTATAACATTGATTTGGATTTATATGAGCTTAACTTCAATATCATGCAATAACTCTGCTCCTTTCAGTCTCCATCTCCACTCCTTTCAGTTGTTGATGTTACAGAATTACATCTTTATACACTGTGTGTTCAAACACATAAACCAATACTTTTTTAAATGCATTAATATCTTAAATTATGTAAAAAACAAAATGTGGAGTTACAAACCAATGTTAGAAAAAGAAAGTATTGGTCTCCTAAATAATGCAGAAAACAACAAGTGGAGTTATAGACTTCTTACAAAAATACTAGCTTTTATAATTGTCCATGTGTTTGCCTTTATTAAGATCTTTATTTCTTCATATGGCTTCAAGTTCCTGTGTGGCATCCTTTCATTTCAACCTACAGGACTCCCTTTAGCATTTCTTGCAAGGCAGGTCTGGTGATAACAAACTCCCTTAGCTTTTATTTGAGAATGTCTTAATTTCTCCCTCATTTTTGAAGGACAGTTTTGTCAGATACAAGATTCTTAGTTGACAGTTCTTGTAGTATTTTAAAAGAAGTACTTTAAAGTACTAAAGTACTTCCAGCCTCCAGTGTTTCTGGTGAGAAGTGTTCTGATAATTTTTTTGAGAATCTCAAGATTCTCTGTCTTTGTCTTTTGACAGTTTGATTATAATGTGTCTCATTGTGGGTCTCTGAGTTCATCCTACTTCGAGTTTGTTGAACTTCTGGGATGTTGTATATTCATGTCTCTTACGACTTTTGGGGAGTCTGCAGCCATTTTTTTTTTTAAGTATTCTCTCTGCCTGTTACTCTCTTCTCCTTCTGGAACTCCCACAGTGTGCATGCAGGTCTGCTTGATGGCCCCACAGGCCCTTTACTCTCTGTTTACTTTTCTTTATTCCTTTTTTTTCTGTACCTCAGACTCAATACTTTCCATTGTCCTGTCTTCAAGTTTGCTGTTTTTTTTCTTCTGCCTGCTCAGATCTGCTTTTGAATTCCTCTAGTGAATTTTTTATTTTAGTGATTGTACTTTTCAGTTCCAATTTTTTTTGGTTCTTGTTAGGTTTTCTGTCTCTTATTGATATTTCCATTTTGTTCACATGTTGTTTTCTTGACTTTCTCCGTGTCTTTCTTTAGTTCTTCGAGCATCCTTAAGACAGTTGTTTCAAAATCTTTGTCTAGTAGATTTGCCATCAGGTCTTTTTCAGATACAATTTCTGTTGATTTTTTTTTTCCTTTGAATGGACCATGCCTTCCTGTTTCTGTGTATGTTTTTTTTTTTATTTTTTTTTTGTTGAAAATTGGATATTTGAATCTAATAATGTGGTAACTCTGAAAATAAGATTTTCCCCTTTCCTCAGGATTTGCTGGGGGTTGTTTTTGTTTCTTTTTGTTTTTGAGACAGGGTCTCACTCTGTCACCCAGGCTGTAGTGTAGTGGAATAATCATGACTCATTGCAGCCTCTAACTCCTGGGCTCAAGTGATCCTCCTGCCTCAGCCTCCTGAGTAGCTGGAACTACAGGTGCATGCCAGCACACCTAGCTAGTTTGTTTGTTTTTTGATGGTTGTAGACTGTCCCTGTGCTGAGGACCACCCTGAGATGTAAACCTAAGGTCTCAGACCTTTTCTAAGCCTGTATTTTTTTCTGGCTAAGCATAATAGCTTTCTGATTTCCCCAGTATATGTGGTTGGTTTTGAATACACAAGTCTTTAATATCTGGCTCCGAAGAAGGGAAAAAAGAAAAATGAGGGAAGAAAAAAAGAGCACTGGCCCTTTTAATCCCGTAGCAGTTACTTCAGCCAGAGGAGAACCAGTTTGTAACAATAGGGAAAAATGTAAGAATGACTACCCACCTCTTTCTCTGCCCTTCTGTGATCAGAACCAGCTATGAGTAATCAGAGCACAGATTCCCAGTAATTGGAGGACAGGGTTCTTTTTGCCCACCTGCTTCTTGTAAGCTGTGTGCAAACTGCTCCAGAAATAAGTGCACAACTGCCTGCCACAGGGCCAGGAATGGGGGATGTGCTAAGATCTGAAATAGACTAAAATTAACTGTTATTGACAGTCCAAGCCTTCTCCTGGAAGTTGCAAGCCTTCGGTAGACTCCAGATTTCCAAAATAATTACATCAGACAGATTCTGCCAGTGGAGTTGCCTAGGTGGGGAGACAGATTCCTAGTGCTTCAAATATGATGTCAAATGCTAGTGAAGAACACATGGTCCATGATTTGATAAATGGACCCTGGTAACAGTGCTGTTTATCTTGGTTATAATGAATTAAACCAAAAAACTCCTATAGAAGATTTCCCTAGGTCTGATGGTATGTACAACCATACATAGTAAAGATACTGCTTTAGTGTCCACTGCATGCTGTACTTTTTATTTAAATATTATCATGATATATTTGACCACAGAATGTTTATATTTTGAGGAAGAGGGGAAAATATCGGGAGGTGGTAAACCAGTGAAGAGTGCTTTCCAGGGCCAAATGTGGTGGCTCACACCTGTAATCCCAGCACTTTGGGAGGCTGAGGCAGGCAGATTGCTTGAACCCAGAAGTTTGAGACCAGCCTGGGCAACATGGTGAAACCTCATCTCTATAAGAATTAGCCAGGCATGGGTGCTACACAGCTGTATTCCCAGCTACTCGGGAGGCTGAGGTGGGAGGATCGTTTTATGAGTTGTTGGCTGTCTTCATGTCAAAACATTCTATTGGGTTACTGTTGTTGTTGTTGTTGTTGTTGTTGTTGTTTTGAGATGGAATCTTGCTCTGTGGCCCAGGCAGGAGTGCAGTGGTGCAATCCTGGCTCACTGCAACCTCTGCCTCTCAAGTTCAAGTGATTCTCCTGCCGAGTAGCTGGGATTACAGGCACCCGCCACCACGTCCAGCTAATTTTTTGTATTTTAGTAGAGACAGGGTTTTGCCATGTTGGCCAGGCTGATCTCAAACTCCTGACCTCAAGCTATCCACCCACCTCAACCCCCCAAAGTGCTGGAATTACAGATGTGAGCCACCGCACCCGGCCTGGGTTACTTTCTGTAACTAACCCCCTTCTCTACAAATTATATCAAAGATATTTTATCCTAGTCTGAATTTAACTCAGATTGTAGTGCCTTTTGTTTGATACAAAAGTTTAGTGTTCATGGAACTGATTTTTTTTTTATTAATTGTGTTTTATATCATGCGTAGGAAGGTCCTTCCAACCTAATATTTTTTTAAAAGGTGGTAATTTCCTGTACCTTTATAGTTTTGTGCTTTGTGTATAAATGTATTGTCTATCTAAAGTTTATCATTATATATGATGTGAAGTTTTTTTCAAGTAGTTAGTGATATCTTAATACTGATTTCCCATAGAAACATGGGGATCTTTTTGGATTCAATGCTCTGTTCCATTCATTTGTCTATTCCTTTGCTGTATACTTTCTATTAGCATAATTTTATTATTACAGGGGCCCTAGGGTCCTTCTCACTACATAATTTGGCATTGCCACTAAAATATATTGTAGACTGCTGTATAGCAGGCCCCTGGCCCCAGGGCTGCACAGCAGGAGGTGAGCACTACTGCCTGAGCTCCGCCTCCTCTCAGATCAGCAGTGGCATCACAGTCCCATAGGAGCAAGAACCCTATTGTGAACTGCGTGTGTGAGGGATCTAGTTGTGTGCTCCTTATGAGAATCTAACTAATGCCTGATGATCTAGGGTGCAACAGTTTCATCCCAAAACCATCCTTGCCCCTCCTCCCCCCGTCGTGGAAAAAAATTGTCTTCCACGAAACTGGTCCTTGGTGCTAAAAAGGTTGGGGACTACTGCTTTATAGTTCATAAAGACACTTTTATATGTTCCATTTTCTTTGATTCTTAGGCCAAATCAGAAAGACATTTAGGACAAGAAACACATTTGCTGTTCATATGAATACTCTTAGAATCTGAGGCCCAAGGGCCAGGCGCTATGGTTCATGCTTGTAATCCCAGCACTTTGGGAGGCTGAGACAGGAGGATTGCTAGAGCCCAGGAGTTTGAGACCAGCCTGGGCAATGTGGCAAAACTGTCTCTACAAAAAATACAAAAATTAGCCAGGTGTGCACTACAGGTGCAGCTTGAGGCCCAAGCTCAGTTGCCAGTGTGAGGGGGTGGGGGGCAGTCAGTTCCAGCATCCACCCTCCTTAATCCCAGGCTATTAACAGGAATACAAACTGAGCTCCACAGAAACCAATGACTACTCTTTTCTCTTGGAAATTATTAAATGAGTGGAATGTACATTTATCTGTAGTTCCTCCTGTTGCTTAGTGTAGTTCATGTTGAAGACTTAGGGGTGACTGAGCCTTGGCAGAAAAAAGAAAATTAAAAAAAAAACACTTAGGTTGTGGGATTTTGTGTTTGTAAGATTCCTGTCCTAGCATCCTTACACAATATAGTTTACTGTCTGTCTTATGTACTAACATGCTAGAGACAGTTAATTAAATTCATCTGAAAATCAGCAGAGTAAAACATGGCGTAGGAGGAAAGGAACTCATATCATTTAAGGGCTTCTTCAGGGCAGATGTTCATCTAAGTACTTGGGTCACTGCCCTTGGTCTGTTCAGTGACCCTATGAGATAGACAGTATTCCCATTGAAAGCAGGGAAAGATTAAAGAATTTCTCCAGGGTCATACAACTAGTATATAGTAGAGTAACCCTGTATCCTGTTAGTCTATTTTCTCATTTCTACACATTCACATTATGATTTTGGGACATTGTGACTTTTTAGGCACACTTGAAATGAATTAAAATAAAAATATATTTTCTCTGTTCTTTTAAGGCTACGCAGATACAAAGTCCTAGGGAGTAGTAACTCCGACTCAGACCTTTTCTCCCGCCTGGCCCAAATTCTTCAAAATGGATCTCAGAAACCCCGGAGCACTACTCAGTCCAAGAGTCCAGGATCTCCTCACAATCCAAAAACACCACCCAAGAGTCCAGTTGTCCCTCGCAGGAGTCCCAGTGCCTCTCCTCGAAGCTCATCCTTGCCTCGCACGTCTAGTTCCTCACCATCTAGGGCTGGACGGCCCCACCATGACCAGAGGAGTTCATCCCCACATCTGGGGAGAAGCAAGTCACCTCCCAGCCACTCAGGATCTTCCTCCTCCAGGAGGTCCTGCCAACAGGAGCATTGCAAACCCAGCAAGAATGGCCTGAAAGGATCCGGCAGCCTTCACCACCACTCAGCCAGCACTAAAACCCCCCCAGGGAAGAGTAAGCCAGCCAGTAAACTCAGCAGATAGGAGCCAGGCTGCATCTCTTTGAAAGGTGTGAGATCTTCCTCCTAAACCTGATGCATGTGTGTCCCTGTACTGTCTACTTAAAAAAATCAGTGTTGATCTTCTCTTGCAAAAGAAAGTAACATGATCAATTATTTATAAGAAGACATAAATACATGATAAGGAATTACCTAAGGCAGGCAGCAAGCAGATTAGGAATCAATGTCTTTGTACAATAAGGAAAAACAGAGCAAAAATCCAAGGGGGAGAAACTCATTAAAATGAGCTCTCATTTTTTAAGCTGCCTTTGAAACAAAAGAGTTGAGGATAGGAGATAGAATGGAATTTTAGGGGGGTTGCCTAATTTTTTTAAGCCTCAACTCAAAGATTATATAGCAAAAGTGAAACTTCTTGTTTGATATTTTCATCCAAAACTTTCCCACCCTGGAGAGTCATTGATCAGATATTAGATTTTGTAAGAAGTCTGTTGCCAGGGAGCCAGTACTCATGTATATTTGGCTTGTGTGTTTATTTCGTGCATTGGGAATGAACACCTTTCCTTTGCCTCATTCCTAGTACCCTCCCTGGAGTTCAGATTGTTTTTTAAAGTTTAATATGTCTCATCTGATTCAATCTCTCTGCTTTTATTTTATGGTCCTAATTGTACTATCAAATCCAATTACTTTTTTTCAGGTCCCTGATTTTGTTTTTTTTTTTAGAGTAACAGGTCTTAACCTACTACATTTTTATTATGAAAAATAAGAAACTTAGGTAAAGGAAAGAAAAGTCTAACTAGAGCTACTTTGCAGGCTTTAGTGTTTAGGGAGAGAAAGTAAGTGTGGGGTAATAGCCTTCAAGATAGAAGATGCCCCTTCCTCCCTGTTAAGTGTCCTCCTTTAGAAACTTGAGAAGGAAAACTGACCAGAGTGAACTGCTTCCTTAAGTCTTCTGGGTTCCAGCTGTTTGTGGTATCAGCCTCCAAGATGATACAAGGGAAGCAATGCTTTGGAATGTGACTTGAGATTTAGAAATCAATTAGATATATTATTGAGGCTTAGAATCCTCAAACTTTGTATTTTCTACATTTAGCCAATAAGGAATTAATATCTGGGGAAATAAATTTAGGCTAAATATTTCTTTTTTAATGTTTTATTACCTGCTTCTCCTGTGTTTTAGTTCAGTATTTGGGCTTCTTGGCCTGATTTTCATATAATCTCAATTCATGAAGCTGTAAAGAGAAAGATACTTGTTCTAATCTCACTCTTTTAATAGGAATCAGGCAAAAAGTCTACCAGACTTTTAAAATGGGCTCTTTTATACTCTCTAGGTGTTTTGTGTTGTAAAGACCTTATTAAGGTCAGGTAAATTGGTCTGCTTGCTGTTGAAATTTGCCTTCTAGCAAACATCTGTGCTTTCTGTTTGACCTTGTGTTTGCTGCCAAACCTAACACAGTTGAATTGGGAAACAAAAAAAAAGAAAGAAATACATTTTCTCCCCAAGTGAACATCTTCTAATGCTGCATCAAAGCTGCCCTGAAGCTGCACTGAACTTCTCTTGTTCTCTTTATCTGTGTTAAGCTTTTTAAAAAAACAAACTCAGAACACTATTGAGGCATACAACGTCTCTTATAAGAAATGTAGCATAGTGTGGAATCTTAATTTCTCTCCAGTTTCAAACACTACAGAGGAATGCAATAGATAAGACATATTTGCTGTTTATCTAAAGCAACTGTAATATTGGAAGACCAGTCCTTCTGTATTATATTGTATAATAGTTGCTGTAACACTACTTGCATGTCTTCATGGTAAATTATATAAATATTTATAAATATATAGAGAGACATATCCTTATATAGACTCATTCTTTGTCATTCTCCATTTGTAATTTCGAGATCACAGATGGCGAAATTCCTTTTCTATTGTGTGCCTCATGTATACTTGGGCCTTGCCTATCTTCATTTTCTGAAAATATGTTCTTGGCATGTGACACCTCAGAGTCTTCTTGCCTTCCCTGTGTACAATGCAAGGGTTGGCAGTATTTAACAAGCCAAGATAGGTTATTTAATTTAATTTTCATTTCAAAAAGATTTTAATAGGGAAAAACTTATGGGGACATGCTTGTAATACTAGTTCAAAGATTTGTCACGTTAATCACATAGTTCTCTCCTTATAGTTACAGTGGATAAACTGGGATGATAATGATGAGTCTGACAGATTTTAGAAACATTTCTTAAAAATTGCCATTCTACTTTCCTCTTTTCATCTCATTTTTTTTGCAGGGGGTTGGGGGAATAATGAAGAAATTATCATATTTCTGTTGCTAAAAGTAGCTAGCTTTAAATCCCGACCCCTTTAGTCAGAAATATGCTAGTAGTAATCATTGGAAAAGCTGATGAGGCTACAACTGTGGTATGTGTGTGAGATTTTATTTCTTATTGGCATTTCTCTGCCGGCGGTTGGAACTGACAGCGATGGGAACGTGGCAACTGAATGTTTTCTCTCTTTCTTGGTTCCTTCCATTTTTATCTCAGCTTTTCCAGTGTGTTGTCCCCTTTTCTAAATGGCATTGATGAACTCATCAAGATCCAGAGATAAACAGTCTCATCGTGTAAGAATATTTTATTTTGCATGTAGAGGAAAGAATTAACCAAAGACGTTTCTGCTCTGATACTTTCAAAAGAAAACAGACTAATTATATCATAGGTGGTATCAGTAGGTCCGTTTATAAGTACTGTCCTATGTAGAGATTTATATTTGGTTTTTACAAGCATAGTTTGTACTTTCAGATGTCTGTCAGGCGAAAAACAGAAGTTGGCAGCCCTGAGCAAGCACCTGTGACGCAGGGATTTTTATTTTTGTTTTAAAGTATGATACAGAGAATGAGGTTTTTGGTTTGATTTGGTTTGGTTGTGTTTTTTAGTTCTTTATTTTTTATTTGGGGGTTCTCTTAGTGATGGCATATTTCAGGTTTCAGTGACATAGATCAAGTAATTTTAAACTGATTTGGTTATTCTACCTAAGATGAGGGACATGGCTATTAAGGTCAAGCCAAACTATGCTAAAAGTAGTATAGGGCAGCAGTTAAAATTATCTTTTGAAAATCAAGTACTGCCTGGTTTCTTGTGTCACAATAGAATAGCCGGTTACCTAGTCAGTCACAGCTGCCCTCGCCTTCCCTTGTTAGTCCCTGGAAGTACCTGAATGGAACAGAAGGTAGAATGAGCAACAGCTCAATCACTTTAGGTAGCATTTCTCCTGAATTCTGCTGCCAAATCCCCAGGGTCTATGGATTGGTTGAAATAGTAAAATCATACATTGTGATTTCTTGCACAGCATAGAGGCATTTAATTTTAGTGGATAGTGAACAAAGAAGGAAAACTGGGTCATATAAAATTTAACCTTAAAACACAGATTATAAATGTCTTTGAATGTTAAGCCCTAGGCAGACAGGTACTCTCATTCTTAACTCTGGTATGCAAGCTGGCCTTGCTGACAGTGGCACAGTTACATTAACTGTTTTCTAAGTTGCATGTTGTGACGTGAATGTTTTTTGTAGAAGTTGCCAAGTTAATCGAGTCCTACATAAGTAGCAAAATGGTAATTGACACCCACTGTAGTCATTACTCACTTTATATTATTTGCTTTCAAACACTAAAGCCTCGGCTGCTAATTCGGCACTTAGGTGTGCAGCGTCTCCTTCTCTTGACTCCTAGCCATGATGGGAACTTGAGGTTCTTCAGCATCATCAGAGATTTCTTCCAGGCCACATATTTTTTATGCTAATATTTCTATAGTTGCATTCAGTCTACAAGGAGAAAGTGTACATTGGTGCATGTTTTACAAACTCAGACACAGATAGCTAAAACCGTAATTAGTTTTTCTATACCCAAGAGCTTTGAATTAAAAACAGATGCTTTATTTTTCCCAAGAGCAGACAATTCTACATTCTAACATGACATTAGGAATTCGTGATAGGAGAAGCAGAATTCAGAACGATTTAGTGAGACTCAGGGAAAAAATGCATTTTCCCCTGGCTGTTTGAAAATTTATTTATTTGTAGATAAGTCTAGATTTAGTCTTGGAGATCAAAGTTTTTTATACGTTAAAAACATATTCCTTTATATTGATCAAAACATGGCATATGTTAGACTTCTGTCATGTTTATGTATTTTGGAATTAAGTTGTTTGCATTCACTTTCAAAATCTGCCCATTTCTGTTTATGTGCACTTACCACAGATGTGTGGGGACTTTGCCTCAGGGGAGAGGTACTTTAGCACCTGTGTCACTGAGGAGATGGAGTGGTTGACAAGTACTGTTGCGCTGTGTAACTTGGGGTTTGGCTCTGTAGACAATGTATTAGCAGAATGATACCACATGAAAGTATTATGGGATTAAGACATGTAACTTCTATGGTAGTCCTTATGTATCAGCATATACCCAAGTTCAGAAACCACAGGTGCATTTTTAGACCTTTACTTAGAGAACTAAAGGCAGTTCCAACCATCAGCCCATATAGGGGGATTAATGCATGAAAACCCTAAGAGGGTGTTGGGACATCCCACTTCCCTGTCCTCACTCAGTGGAACTCTGGTGTGTGACTTGAGATAAGGAAGTAGATGGAAACTTAGCCTGTCATTGAGTATTCTTAATATTTTGGCCTTCCCTCTGGAATTATGAGAAGTTTAACAAAGTCTCAGGAACCTTCAGAGTCCATTATCCACACTGCTAGAAAAACTGTAGGAGGCACATGGGGAATTCCTATAGTTCTTAGGTAAGCCCAAGACATGGCACAGGGATCCCTAGCCACATAAAGGGGAGTCTGGATGCTGCACACCGCAATTCTGAGAAACCCCTGACTGAACATGGAATTATGACAGTACAGTTTTGGCCCTTTCGTTTTCTAGAGCAGCTCACAGAAATTTTAAAAAGTAAAACAGGCCGGGCGCGGTGGCTCAAGCCTGTAATCCCAGCACTTTGGGAGGCCGAGACGGGCGGATCATGAGGTCAGGAGATCGAGACCATCCTGAGTAACACGGTGAAACCCTGTCTCTACTAAAAAATACAAAAAACTAGCCGGGCGAGGTGGCGGGCGCCTGTAGTCCCAGCTACTCGGGAGGCTGAGGCAGGAGAATGGCGTAAACCCGGGAGGCGGAGCTTGCAGTGAGCTGAGATCCGGCCACTGCACTCCAGCCTGGGCGACAGAGCAAGACTCCATCTCAAAAAAAAAAAAAAAAAAAGTAAAACAAAAATAAAGTTTATGCCCATTAAGACGTCTTCTAATTCAGTTGTGATTGTCTGCTCCTACTTAAAAAAATATGTAAGCTTAATGTTTAATTATTCCCTTTCAGCAAATTTGGATCAGAAAATTAAAGTATGGGCCGGGCGCGGTGGCTCAAGCCTGTAATCCCAGCACTTAGGGAGGCCGAGACGGGTGGATCACGAGGTCAGGAGATCGAGACCATCCTGGCTAACACGGTGAAACCCCGTCTCTACTAAAAATACAAAAAACTAGCCGGGCGAGGTGGCGGTGCCTGTAGTCCCAGCTACTCCGGAGGCTGAGCCAGGAGAATGGCGGGAACCCGGGAGGCGGAGCTTGCAGTGAGCTGAGATCCGGCCACTGCACTCCAGCCCGGGCTACAGAGCAAGACTCCGTCTCAAAAAAAAAAAAAAAAAGAAAAAAGAAAATTAAAGTATGTGACAAGATCAGGTCACCTTGAATTTCCACACAGTCTCAAGACACTGAATAGTAAAAAAGTAACATGACTCAGTAATGAGTAGCATATTGCCTTAGACTTTTCTGGATCTTTGGTCTTAAGGTAACATGTAAAAGTAGTGGAGCCTTTCCTTTCATGGCCTCGTGCAGCGTAACGGTTTTCTGCCTCCGCTTCAGCTGGGCGCGTTAGTGGTGGTATGGGCACAGAGTGTATGTGCACTGGCGATGCTGACCATGCCTCCCAGGTACCCTGGCTCAGGGTTCCTTGACCTAGGGAACAAGAGTGGATGAGGCAGATCTTTGAGCCCATGTGACTATAGAATTTGCTGATGACATAATTTTACAATTACAATGGATAGGAATTTTACCTCTCTTTTTATTAGTTTAATATTATTTAATATTATGTACATAAGTGTTCACTCGCCTAATTAAAAACATTGAGTAAACCAAGTTTTTATATAGACTACCCTTGCCATAGAATGCTCTTTTTCTCTAATAATATGCAGTTTAAATCCTGAGGAATCCATGCGCAGCATTTCACCACATCCGGACTCTGTGGGCATTCTTCACTCGCCTACAAGGGGTAGACAAGGCTACCAGAACTTGAATTTGACTTATGGTAGGGAGCTACCCAGGAAGGGGAAAGCCCTTGGGACTTTTTCCAAAACAATGTCCTCTTTGAGCTATTCATCAGACAAAGTAGTCCACTGAGGTGAGAAAGCTTTCGGAAATACAAAGGTGGGAAGATAAAGGTAACCCTGGCCCACTTGGGGCTTTGAAATTGGATTGGGTGGACTGAATAAACACAGCCTAGATGACCTGGGCTTGTGCCTCGCTTACTTCTCCCTGATACATAGTTCCTGGTCCACCTTCTGACCCCTTTTCTAAAATAGCCAGTGTCTATTTCACTAGGCCATTTACTTACAAGTTCCCAGCTTTTAGGAAAAAAAGAGGGAGAGGGGGAGCATCTAGTTTTGAATTAGATATACATCTTAGAAGTAATGAGCTATTGGCAGCTGTTAAATCAGATTCAGCCACAAACCAGAATTCTTTCTTGTTGAACAAGACCAATGAGTTAGATGACTTTAATAATTCCACTTTTCTCTCCCTCTCTTCTCCTCTTCCTGAAATCAGAGAGATGAGAAACTACTCTTTGAAATACCTCCAGAGGTGTTTCATTGTGTTCCTTTCCCTCCAAGCAGCTCCCTTTATACGATTTTGCTCAGGCAACCAAGGACAGAGTATTGGCAGAAACCTGGAGTGCTTTTGTATAGGCCACCTGTACAGAAAAGTGTAATTATTTATTTAATTTTCCCATTTGTATCATATTAAAGCTTTGTACAGTGTTTTAAGTTGTTTTAAAATTATTTTGTATTTTATTTTTATAACCTAGTAATAAAATATTCATTCCGCATGCAAAATCTAGTTCTATTTGTGTGATGGTCTGGATTTCAAAAGTGGAAAATATTATTTTTCTAATTTAATAAAGTTATTGAATACACCAGATGTTAAAAGATCAACTGGGAGCAGACAGTGTTACTGTAAATGCAGTGCCACATCTAGAAGTTCCCTGGAAAAAGCAGCCCAGGACTGAATAGAAACTAGGCGTTCAGTGTCCCTGCAGGTGAAAACCAGGGTGCAAGGATGTTAGGAGATGTTTTCTTCCAATAAAATTAAAATATTAAAAACTCCTTTTTAGTCCATTATTCTGTCTGGCTGGAGGTGCTTTTTCCTTCTCCGTAGGAAATACCCCTTCTACCACTAGAGAGATTCCTGCACCCCCACCCTCATCTTTCCACCTTTAAACTTTCTTTGAACCAGAGGAACTCTCAGGAGGCATTCACAAGGGCACTGCCTCACCCCTCCTGGTTTGGTTTGACCTGGAATGTTAGTGCCATCTGGTTTTCTCCGCCTGGATTCCCTTGCTTGATTTCTCACTAAACAGCAACCTCCAAAATGCTCTCTCGGGTTTTTTTGTTTTGTTTTTGAGATGGAGTCTCGCTCTGTCACCCAGGCTGGAGTGCAGTGGCATGATCTTGGCTCACTGCAACCTCCACCTCCCAAGTTCAAGCAATTCTCCTGCCTCAGCCTCCTGTAGCTGGGACTACAGGCACGAGCTACCACGCCCAGTTAAATTTTGTATTTTTAGTAGAGACACGGTTTCACCATGTTGGCCAGGATGGTCTCTATCTCTTGACCTCGTGATCCGCCTACCTTGGCCTCCCATTGCACTCCAGCCTGGGGGCGACAGAGCGAGACTCCATCTCAAAATAAAATTAAAGTAAAGGAGATTAAAACAAATTACTCAGGCTGGGCGTGGTAGCCCACGCCTATAATCCAAGCACTTTGGATCTGCTGCCCCCTCCACACCAAAACATTAGCTGGGCTGTAGTCCTAGGGAGGCTAAGTTGGGAGGATTGCTTGAGCCCAGGAGGCCAAGGCTGCAGTGAGCCCTGCTCACGCCACTGCACTCCAGCCTGGGCAACAGAGCAAGACCCTGTCTCAAAAAAAAAAAAAAAAAAAAAGGAAAAAAACCCCTCAAGCTCCCAGAAGCTAACCATGATATGCTTACTGACATCTAAACTGCAAAGTAGTTGAAATATTAACCTCATGTAAACCCATTTAAGTAAATAAAGCTACATACAAGAGATTCTGTGTGCAGGGTGGCCCGAGGCACTTTAAGGGTTGTGACTTGGAGATTATTAAGAACCTCCTAGAAATAATTCTGTCCTAAATGGTCAGTTGATGGTGAGTGCTGAAAAGCCGATAGGTACTGCTCGGCCAAGGGATTGAAAAATCGGCCTTTGAGAAAAAGTCAAAATGAAAGATTGGATTAACTTTATAATTTCTCTGGAGTGGTGCCAGTTGGATCTAGAAAACTTAAACTCTTGAAGGAATGTGCTTACAGCAGAAGATAGAAGCTGGTGGCTGTCTCTGTTCCCCTCTACCTCTCTCCCGGGTCCTTGGTCTCCCCAGAGGGGCGTCCGACCCGCGGCAGCCGCACTCCCAGCTCGAATCCTTCCCTTCAGGTCGCTCCAGGGCGGGCAGCCAAGGTGGGCCTCCCCAGGCGCTGTGATCCGCACTTCGCCTCCCAGCAACCGGCCTGTCGGCCGGGGCTGAGGACCCAGCGAGGCCTTGACCGTGGGCCTGTGCAACAGCCAGCTCCGCCCCGCCCCGCGGCCCCGCGGCCCCGCCCCGCCCCGCCCCGCCAGCCCGGTCCCTCCCCGCCAGCCCGGTCCCTCCCCGCCAGCCCGGTCCCTCCCCGCCCCGCGACCCAACGGTCGCTCCCCGCCGCCGGCCCCGCCCCTCCCTGGCCGCCCGTGGCGCGCCGGCGCCTGCGCAGTCGCCCCAGAGAGCCTGGACCGGGATGGCGGCCGTTTTGGAGTCGCTGCTGCGAGAAGAGGTGTCGGTCGCAGCCGTCGTGCGGTGGATCGCACGCAGCACCCGGGGTTCGGAGGTAACAGCGCTGACACGCCCCCAGGTCTGACCCGAAGCCGGTTCCCGCAGTGGAGCCCAGCCCTCAGTCCCCTTCCCCGAGGGCGCCGGGCTGCCAAGCCGGGCCGAGTGCGCTCCAACTGGGCGCCGCTGCCCGGGCCGCCCACCCGAGGCTCGCCCCGCGGTCCCCGCTGCTCACAGCCCCCGGGCCGGCGGCTGACCCTCTCGCCCCTTGGCCTGTGCTTCTGCCCTAGGATAACCCCGGGGAGGCGGCCGCGCTGAGCTCACTCCGGCCCCTGCGGAAAGAATTCGTACCGTTCCTGTTGAACTTCCTGAGGGAGCAGAGCAGCCGCGTCCTCCCGCAGGGGCCCCCGACCCCCGCCAAGGCCCCGGGCGCCTCGGCAGCCTTGCCAGGGAGGCCGGGAGGCCCGTCGCGGGGCAGCCGCGGGGCGCGCAGCCAGCTCTTCCCTCCGACCGAGGCCCCGAGCACCGCCGCCGAGGCCCCTCTGGCCCGCCGCGGGGGCAGGAGGCGGGGCCCGGGGCCGGCCCGCGAGCGTGGAGGCCGCGGCCTGGAGGAGGGGGTCAGCGGGGAGAACCTGCCCGGAGCCGGGGGCCGGAGGCTCAGGGGCTCTGGCAGCCCCAGCCGCCCCAGCCTCACGCTCTCTGATCCACCAAACCTCAGCAACCTGGAGGAGTTCCCTCCCGTAGGCTCGGTTCCCCCCGGCCCTGCAGGGTGAGACTCGGCTCTTGTGCGGGAGATGGGTACCACGAAGGCTCTGGGGGAGTCAGTCATTCGGGCTCGGCGCTCCGCAGTGGGGCGCGAGGATGGGTAGAGGCTGGGGGTGATGGTGAGGGTTTTTGTGGGGTTTTTTTTGCAAGAGGTCTAGCTGTTGCGGTTGTGGAGGGGGGATGTTTGAAGATAGGAATTTGAGAAAAACCTGTGGCTACTCTCAGCAGGACGAAGCCTTCTCGCAGGATCAACCCAACTCCGGTGAGCGAAGAGCGGTCACTCTCCAAGCCCAAGACCTGCTTCACCTCACCCCCAATCAGCTGTGTCCCCAGTTCCCAACCCTCAGCCCTGGACACTAGCCCTTGGGGCCTTGGCCTTCCCCCAGGGTGCAGAAGTCTGCAAGAGGAGCGGGAGATGCTCAGGAAGGAGCGGTATGGCCTGGCCTCTCCTGGGGATGTCGGCTTCCTCGCTATGGGGGATCTTCAGGGGTTTTCCCTGAAAATGATTTCCCTCTTGGGGACTCTGGGTTTGTCTCCTGGGCTATTGGTATCTTCTCTGGAGGGACCTGAGTGTGGCCGTGGCAGGGGAGCCAAGCTGACTGCTCATGAAATTTCTTTATTCCCATAGCTCTAAGCAGTTGCAGCAGTCACCTACCCCTACCTGTCCCACCCCAGAACTGGGCTCGCCCCTCCCCAGCCGGGCAGGAAGCCTCACAGATGAACCTGCAGACCCTGCCAGAGTATCTTCCCGCCAGCGCCTGGAGCTGGTAGCCCTTGTTTACTCCTCGTGCATTGCTGGTGAGTGAGAGCAGAGGGAGCTGGAGTGGAGATACTTGTAGAACTGCTGGGTAAGAGAATTGATAAGGCACCTGGAACTGAACCTTGGCTCCAAATGGTGCCCCATAGCATGGGATTTCTTTTTGTATCTATCTAGAGAACCTCGTACCAAACCTCTTCTTGGAGCTTTTCTTCGTCTTTCAGCTGCTCACTGCCCGGAGGATGGTGACTGCCAAGGACAGTGACCCTGAACTAAGTCCAAGTGTCCTAGGTCAGTGAGCAAGCCTCCTTTTGAGACGTGGGGTCTAGAAACAGGACCGTTCTTAACTGACAGTTTGGTACTGTCCTTCTAGATTCCCTGGAAAGTCCACTGTTCCAAAGCATCCACGATTGTGTCTTCTTTGCAGTGCAGGTTTTGGAGTGTCACTTTCAGTGAGTTTCCCTGGCTGAGGCGTTTGGGCCTCATTCTTCTCATCTGCTTAGCTCTCTGGCTGCTTGGGACCTATGCTGGTGCTAACACGGGGGCAGTGGCCCTGGACCTTCTCCTACCTGTAATCTTTCATTCTGTGTTAAGCCTATGAATGTAGTACCTAAAAGAATGAGATGGGGCCAGGTGCAGTGGCTCATGCCTGCATTCTCACCACTTTGAGAGGCTGAGGCAGGACAGTCACTTAAGCCCAGGAGTTTGAGACCAGCCTGGGCAACATTACAAAAATCCCATCTCTACAAAAAAAAAAAAAAAGCTGGATGTGGTGGAGTGCACCTGTAATCCCAGCTACTTAGGAGGCTGTGGTGGGAGGATCACCTGAGCCTGGGAGGTCCAGGCTGTAGTGCGATCATGGCACTGCAGCCCAGCCTGGGTGACGGAGACCCCCATCTCAAAAAAAAAAAAAAATGGACCCCTGTGGCCTTGGCAGCTGAGCTTTGGGTTTCTGGGTAATGTACCTGTCCTGCTGTCTTGGTCCCTGCTCTGTAAAGTCTCATATCCTCCCCTTTACTTTCATTGTCTTTGATCCTTGGCTCATGACCTTGCAGGACGTATCTGGGCTTGCACGCCTGCACCATGCCTTAGAGATCCTCTGTGTGGTGTGCAGGTGTTGGCTTCCTACTTGCAGTCTGTGTTCCGGTCTCAGTCATAGGTGTTCTTATCCCTGCAGGGTTCTTTCCAACCTGGACAAAGGGACCTTGAAGCTGCTGGCTGAGAATGAGCGGCTGCTGTGCTTCTCACCAGCTCTGCAAGGCCGCCTTCGAGCTGCCTATGAGGGCAGTGTTGCCAAGGTAGTGACCCCAACTTAGATGCCCACGAGCCTGGACCTAACCCTTCCTAGCTTTCATAAATTCAGGCAACCCTGCTGACGACACTTAAGTGTAATGTGAGCTTACTCTGGGCAAGCATAAGAGGGAGAAGTTGTCTCAGCATGACCCTGCGGTTCCTAATGTTCCTGCTGTATTTTAGGTCTCTCTGGCAATGCCTCCCTCTGCTCAAGCTGTCTCCTTTCAGCCAGAGACTGACAATCGTGCCAACTTCTCCAGTGACCGAGCCTTTCATACTTTTAAAAAACAGAGGTGATAAGAAAAGGGACTTTTGGGGGAGGGAATGAGATGACATTTTTCTGGAAGAGGCAGCTGTTTCAGTTTCATAGAAATTAGGAGTTTGGCACTAACAGGTGGTGGGTTAGTTCTCCCAGCTCCTTCCTGCTGGCCATCATAGGGACCACCTGCCTTCATTCTCTTGTGTGCCTGTGAACCCCGGAGCTTAGCCAGCTGTCTTACAGGTGTATGGATGGCTTTAGTCTCGGGGTTCTCAGGCAAGAATGTGCCAGGATGAACTGTCACTGCCCACAGAAGTACATGAAGCCTGTAGTGTGCTGCTGGTCTGTAGCACTACTGTCATCATGTAGAGAACTCTGGAGAAATTAAAAAAGGGCTGCTGGCCGGACAGGCGTGGTGGCTCCTGCCTGTAATCCCAGCACTTTGGGAGGCTGAGACAGGTGGATCACCTGAGGTCAGGAGTTCTTGACCAGCTTGGCCAACATGGTGAAACTCCGTCTCTACTCAAAATACAAAAATTAGCCAGGTGTGGTGGCGGGCACTTGTAATCCCAGCTACTCCGGAGGCTGAGGCAGGAGAATCGCTTGAACCCAGGGGGCGGAGGTTGCAGTGAGCCGAGATCGCGTCATTGCACTCCAGCCTGGGTGACAAGAGCAAGACTCCATCTCCAAAAAAAAAAAAAAAAAAAAAGGTGGTGGGTGGGCTGTGGATAGTCCTGTCCTCAGTTCTTCCAGGGGTGGGCACTGGTGGGAGTGAGTGCCTCGGCTGATCAGGCGTTCTTATGCGTCAGGGATGTGTTTTATGAGGTGCTGCGAGAGTGGGAAGATCACCATGAGGAGCCTGGCTGGGATTTTGAGAAGGGCTTGGGCAGCAGAATCAGGTGGGTGCTCAGACCTTGTCTTGCGCCTGGCAATGAGTAGCTCAGTACTGGTCGGTGGCAGGAGGGATGGAGGAGGGAAGGCTTTTCCCCTGCTCCTTCCAGCCATGAGCTGTTTTGTTCTATCCTCCAAAATCTCTTTAGTTATTGATAACTCTGCCTCTACTCGAAAGGGATGTCTCTCCAGCTCCTTCCACTTACAGGTGTCTTATCCTTGTTCTATAGTGGCAGTTGCTTAGAAAGTCCAAAGCTCTTACCCCAGGCTGCTTGAGTTTTTTTGGCCCAAGTCACTGGTTAGACACATCCAGCCTCCATCTTCTCCATCCTCTAGTTTGGGCAAGTCTGGTCACTGTGTAGGTAGATGCCTGGGCTCAGAACACGAACCCCAGTCCAGTCACATTGCTCATGAAGCTCGCCGCCTGTCAGTGTGGCTGAAGACGGGAGGGTGGCATGATTTCTCGTTTGGTTAAGTGCACTTCTAGCCTCAGAGGACCTTGGTGCTGAGGGAGTGTCCCTTGCCTTCAGTGTCCCTGTGCAGGCAGGCTCTGGCTGAGGTCTGCTCAAGTCCCTGGTAAAGGGCTGGAAAGTCCAGGTGTTTGCTGCTTCTCTGAGATCTTTCTCCCTCTCCCTCCTCTCCACACCCTTCATTCCTGCCTTCTATTCCTCAGGGCCATGATGGGCCAGCTGTCTGCAGCCTGCAGCCACAGCCACTTTGTTCGGCTTTTCCAAAAACAACTACTCCAGGTAACAGCCCCAGCAAGAGATTAATCGACATGAAACAGCAGGTATCATAGGCAGCCACGTAACGGCTGCACTTTGGGATAGGGCGGACAGCCTGGCAGGTCCTGGGCTGGAATTTGAACAAGAGTTCTACTCCTTTCGGAGTGGCTGAAACTCGAGTGGCCAAAGAAAAGCCAGGGCACACACTCTGACATGTCCTGGGCCCTGCACCTCCCCCAGCCTGCTGCTGCCTTCCCTTTGATTTGTGCTGTGGTAAAGAGCCCAGGCTTAGTAAGTAATCAAGCTTTGTTTCAGATCCTAGCTCTAGTGACCCTAGGCACATGCTTAACCTTGGAGTTTCAGTTTCTTCACCTGTGAAACAATACTGTAATTCACACCTCAGAAAATCTAAAGCACTTGACACAGTTGGCATTCCTTAAATGTTCATTACTTCTCCTTATTTTTTGTTCAGTCCTTCCCTCCCACTTACTGATTTTTAAATTTCTCTTCTTCCTCTTCCACCCCAGATGTGTCAGAGCCCTGGTGGTGCTGGGGGCACCGTCTTGGGCGAGGCCCCAGATGTGTTGAGTATGCTGGGAGCTGACAAGCTGGGGCGGTTGTGGCGCCTACAGGAACGGCTTATGGCTCCTCAGAGCAGTGGGGGGCCCTGCCCACCCCCCACCTTCCCAGGCTGTCAAGGCTTCTTTAGGGACTTCATCCTTAGTGCCAGCAGGTAGGCTCCACTGTGTCTTGCAAGGAATGGGGCAAAGGCCAGGAAAGGTTTGGCTTCCCAAAAGGGTAAATAGTTCTCCAGTCTCCTTTGCCTGGAGATAGGCTCCTTCCAGCTCGTACTTGCTGGCTTCATTGCACTTCTCATTCTGTCACCCATGTGGGTGATTTCATTGCTCCTGGGCCTCCCTGTCTGTCCAGCTGCTCCCTTCCCTCTGGAGTGCCCCTTCTAGATTCTGGCTCTTCCTGTACCTTTTCCAGTACTTATGCCCCACCCACCCCTTCTTCTCAGCTTCCAGTTTAACCAGCATCTCATGGACAGTCTGAGCTTGAAGATCCGGGAGCTCAATGGCCTGGCCTTGCCCCAGCATGAGCCCAGTGATGAAGACGGGGAGTCAGATGTAGACTGGCAGGTCTGAAAACGGGGTCTGACCCAGGAGGGAAGGGAGTATGTTCAAGAAGAACTTTGTAACAGACCGGGAATTGTTCTGGAAGCCTCATGCTTGGACCTTTTATTTCCCTTGATTCCATGCAGGGTGAGCGGAGGCAATTCGCTGTGGTGCTTCTTAGCCTGAGACTTTTGGCTAAATTCCTGGGCTTTGTGGCTTTCCTGCCATACCGGGGGCCTGAACCTCCCCCGACCGGTGAGCTTCAGGACTCCATTCTGGCCCTCAGGAGCCAGGTGAATGGGCGGGGGATTCTGGTGAGGAGGGAGCAGGGAGGACCAGCCAGGCACTGAAGCTGACTGGTTTCCTTGGCTATTCTGGAAACCAGGCAGGTTAGAGGGCACCTCCCAGCCCTTCCTAGGGACCCACCTGACTGAGCTCTGGCCCTTCCAGGTCCCTCCGGTCCTGGATGTGCGGACTCTGCTGCAGCGAGGGCTGCAGGCCCGCCGGGCGGTGCTCACCGTGCCCTGGCTGGTGGAGTTCCTCTCCTTTGCTGACCATGTTGTTCCCTTGCTGGACTATTACCGGGACATCTTCATTCTCCTGCTGCGCCTGCACCGGTGAGTGGAACAAGGCTAAGGCTTGACGAAAGGACTCGGGAGTCAGGGACATCGGTCACTCCTGCTGTTAATAAAGAGGGTCGAGCAGTCTGCATGTGTGTGTGGTGCCCCGGCCATAACTGAGCCCTGGGAGAGGCAGGATTGGCTCCCCTGAGGTGGATGGTGGGACAGCATCTGCACTTTCATTGGCTTCATGCTGTTCCCGAGGTGGCCCCACCAAGAGACAGTCCCCATGCAGGAGGGGGCGCTGGGGGGATCCTGCTTGCCGACATGGCCCCAGTCCCTTTTAGTTCTGCTTTTGCGAGCCAGCCTCCAATGACAGCGTTTGCCTCCTCCGTTCCCTTCCCCTTTCTGCTCAATCCTGTGTACTGCCCACTGATGTTTCAGGAGCTTGGTGTTGTCGCAGGAGAGTGAGGGGAAGATGTGTTTCCTGAACAAGCTGCTGCTACTTGCCATCCTGGGCTGGCTTTTCCAGGTGGGCAGAGTGAGGGTCCAGGTTGGGAGTGGTTCTGCAGCTGAAGATGGGGAGTGGGCAAATGTCCGAGTACGAATGAGGCAAGGGCTGGAAGACAAAGGTTCAGGAAAGGCCTGGTGATTCCCATCGTCTCAGAGGAGGCTGCTTTGAAGCTGGCACCTTCTCCCTGGGACCATGCAAGAGGTGGCGTGGGGGTCTCTGAAGTTGACCTGAGCTGTGACTGTCTTCCTGTCTTGCCAGATTCCCACAGTCCCTGAGGACTTGTTCTTTCTGGAAGAGGGTCCCTCAGATGCCTTTGAGGTGGACACAGTAGCCCCAGAGCATGGCTTGGTGAGTGCTGGGGTCCAGCCAGAGCCATGGGAAACTCAGGAATAAAGGAAGTGGGCTGCGTGGGGAGGCCCGGCCAGGGGCAGATGTAACCCTTGTAAACGCCCTGCCAACTGCCTGTTTCCTGGGCGCGCTGGGGGAGGGGCAGCTTGCCGACCCCAGCCTGTTCTCCCCAGGACACCGCGCCTGTGGTGGACCAGCAGCTGCTCTACACCTGCTGCCCCTACATTGGTAAGCACCCGTCTCCCTGCACGGCCCCTGGTCTGCCCCCTCCATGAGCACCCAGAAGGCGCCCCCTGGCCCAGCTCCCTCGAATACTGCTCCGTTCATAGTCATCCCTGGGTGTCTGAGCCTCTTGACTGCACAAATCAATTCTGATACTTGGGGAGAGGGTGCTGGAACTGAGAACTCGGACTTACTGACGCAGGGGAGCTCCGGAAACTGCTGGCGCTGTGGGTGTCAGGCAGCAGTGGACGGAGTGGGGGCTTCATGAGGAAAATCACCCCCACCACGACCACCGGCCTGGGAGCCCAGCCTTCCCAGACCAGCCCGGGGCTGCAGGTAAGGGCAGGGCGGAGACAGCCACGGGGGATAGTGGGGGAGGTCGGGGGAGGTCGGAGGAAGCCTCGCTGCCTCTCCCTTCTCCCGCCAGGCGAGGCTCGCCCAGGCCTTTTTCCACAACCAGCCACCCTCCCTGCGCCGGACTGTAGAGTTTGTGGCAGAGAGAATTGGATCAAACTGTGTCAAACATATCAAGTAAGAGTGGGTTAAGGATCCTGGTCTCATCGCCCTACCATTTTTTCCCCTTTTTCCTCAGTTGCTAAGCTGAGGAGGTCAGCCAGAGGGCGGGTGTGGGGCTGAAGTGGCAGACACGTTTTGAAGGAAATTCCCTTAAATGTGCAGCCCCTTTCCGATTAACCCTCCAACCACCCCCACCTTGCTGTCCCTGCTGCAGGGCTACACTGGTGGCAGATCTGGTGCGCCAGGCAGAGTCACTTCTCCAAGAGCAGCTGGTGACACAGGGAGAGGAAGGGGGAGACCCAGCCCAACTGTTGGAGATCTTGTGTTCCCAGCTGTGCCCCCACGGGGCCCAGGCATTGGCCCTGGGGCGGGAGTAAGCATCGCTGGTCCATTTGATCCACTCTCCTCTTGGCTTTCTCTGTCTTTTCTTTCCGCTTTCACACTTACTCTTTTTTCCCTTCTCTCCACGCCTCCTTTTTTCTTCTCCCCGCCCCCATCCTCTGTAAGCCCTGCACTGGCTGTAGGCCTTCTGTGGCACAAAATCCAGACCTAAGTTTGGAGCGTGTATGATGCTGTGGGGCTGGCAGTTGGGCTTCTCTTTTCTCTGGCATCCGGGGTGGGGCGGAAGGGCAAACGGTGCCTCCTTCCAAGGTACAGCCTTCCAGACCAGATGCTTGGTGCACTCTGGGCATTTACTTCTACAGCCAGGCTGAAATACCCAGAGACCACTGACCCCGTCTGTCTCCTTTTAGGTTCTGCCAAAGGAAGAGCCCTGGGGCTGTGCGGGCACTGCTTCCAGAGGAGACCCCGGCAGCCGTACGTGGGAGGGAGGCCTGCAGCTAGCAGGCCAGGCGGTTGTGGGAGAGGTGCACGGAATAGTTGTGTGCAGACACAGTTGTGTGAAGCTGGTGGTGGGGGCAGGGTCGGTGCCCAACTCTAGCTTCCCTTGTTGCACCCAGCCCTTCCCTAGCCCCTGACTCTAGTTCTGGTTCGCAGGTTCTGAGCAGTGCAGAGAACATTGCTGTGGGGCTTGCAACAGAGAAAGCCTGTGCTTGGCTATCAGCCAATATCACAGGTAAGGTCCAGGAGAGGGCAATGGCTGAATCGAGTGTTTAAAAAGTGGACTGGCAGAGTCGCAGGCGTTCTGGGGGAGATGGGGCTGAGAGCCAGGAGGAAACAGCAACAGGCGTGGGTCAGCATGGCGAGCCTGCGCAGGGCTCCCCCGTGATTCCTTTCCCATTCTCCCTCTGCCCCGCAGCACTGATCAGGAGGGAGGTGAAAGCAGCAGTGAGTCGCACACTTCGAGCCCAGGGTCCTGAACCTGCTGCCCGGGGGGAGCGGAGGGGCTGCTCCCGCGCCTGTGAGCACCATGCTCCCCTCCCCTCCCACCTCATCTCCGAGATCAAAGTACACGGCTACCCTACTCCCTTTGGCTTCCCTGCTCCCTCTCCCTGCTGTTCTCACATCAGCTCCAGGACTTTTATGTAGAAGCTGTCTGTGCTGTCCACTAGTCCCCATTTCACTCATTACTGAATGGGGTTAGGTAGGGCAGAGCTGAACTGAAGTGTTTTCCTAATTGTCACTCTGACTTTTTAATCATCCAAAAGGGGAAAAGGGCAGATAAGACATTTTTGACTAAATGCTTATTATGCAGATGGCAATGAGAGTGGGGTGGTGAATGGTTTGATAGCAAATGAGTCTCTAGGAAGCAGTCACCCCAGTATTTGGAGACAGTTTCAGAAATGTTCTATGCGAGAGGTGATGCTCGTTTAGTTATAGGCAGTAAGAATAAACCATTGGTTCTCCTAACTTGATTTTAAAATTCAAGGACTGTCTAGAGCAGGAGTCAACAAACAGCCCATGGACTGAAGCGAGCCTGCCCCTTGTTTTGTGGGTGAAGTTTTAGTGGAATGCAGCCGTATTCATTGGTGTGCAAGCTGTCTATGGCTGCTTTTGTGCAACTACTGAACAGCAGAGTTGCATAGCTGGGACAGAGACTTTATGGCCTGCAAAGCCTAAAATATTTACTGGCTGGTTCTGGTCTAGGGTATGATCTAGGAATAGAGATTGGAATAGGGACTAAGGTACAATGACTAAAAATGGAGATTATGTAGGAGGAAGAGGCTTAGTGGCCATTTGATACTGGTTGTCAATATGCAGAGGATTTCTGCATTGAAAACTCAGCTCTCCAGAGAAGATGAACAGAGAGGCTTCAGAGACAGAAGATACTAAGATGGTATCTGATAGGCCAGTTTCCTTACATGCTTCAAGAATAAGATGCCCTATGGGAGTTGGTTAGCTACAGTTTGGTCCCAAGTTCAGTGATGTTTCCCATGCTGTGGCAGCCTGCTGTCCCTCAGCTGACCTCCTCCATCTGTTCCCTCTCTTGTTGTCCACGTGGTGCTTCCCCTGGCTGTGCTGTCCTGCCCAAGTCCCAGGCCTAGGGGCAACTTGGCTTCACTCACCATACCCTGGGGCCCTATTCTGCCTCTCTCCACTGGCCGATCCCTGTCCCAAGCCGAATTCTCTGTGGCATCCTGGTCCCTAGCACAGGGTAATGTCTCCCCCTGCTCTCCACAGGACGTGCTCTCCTTGGCTGTGGGGCCACGGGACCCTGACGAGGGAGTTTCCCCAGAGCATCTGGAACAGCTCCTAGGCCAGCTGGGCCAGACACTGCGGTGCCGCCAGGTGAGATGAGGCATCTACCACTCAAGGACTGCTTTTTTCTTTGTCCTCATGTGAGACCTGATAACCAGAGCCACACTGGCTTAGCGCTGGTTCTCGCAGCAGTAAGCATGGTGATACCTATGCTCTCTCTTCCCCCGCCCACTGCAGTTCCTGTGCCCACCTGCTGAGCAGCATCTGGCAAAGTGCTCTGTGGAGTTAGCTTCCCTCCTCGGTATGGCTCCTTTCCATCAAATCCCTCTCTTGCCTGATCCCCTAGATCTCAGGGTTGGGTACAAGCAAGATTAGAAACAGAGCCCTCTTCCGTCCCCATCTCTTTTTTTTTTGAGAGAATCTTGCTCTGTTGCCCAAGCTGGAGTGCAGTGGCACAATCTCGGCTCACTGCAACCTCTGCCTCGGCCTCCCAAGTAACTGGAATACAGGTGCCCGCCACTGTGCCCGGCTAATTTTTCTATTTTTAGTAGAGGTGGGGTTTCACTATGTTGGCCAGGCTGGTCTCGAACCCCTGACCTCATGATCCGCCCGCCTCAGCCTCCCAAAGTGCTGGGATTACAGGTGTGAGCCACCGCGCCCAGCCTGCCCCCATCTCTTAAAGCTTGGCTTTCCTCTCTTTCCACAGTTGCAGATCAAATTCCCATCCTAGGTCCCCCCGCACAGTACAGGCTGGAGAGAGGGCAGGCTCGAAGGCTTCTGTACATGCTGCTTTCCTTGTGGAAGGAAGATTTTCAGGGGCCAGTTCCACTGCAGCTGCTGCTGAGCCCAAGAAACGTGGGGCTTCTGGCAGACACAAGGCCCAGGGAGGTGAGTCAGACAGAAGGAGGAGGCATCTCAGCCCTCTGCAGTCACACTCTGAACATGCACCACCCTTGCCTCAAACTATGAGCTGCTCTATTTCCCTCTTCTGTTCCACACAGAAATGGACTCCATTTATCCATCTCAAGTCTCTTCCCAGCAGCTCTGTCCTTTGAGATCTCAATGTGTGTCATTAGGGTCACTCTGCCATCCCCCTAGCAACCCTGACCACCTTGGTGTGTTTTGCAGTGGGACTTGCTGCTATTCTTGCTCCGGGAGCTGGTGGAGAAGGGTCTGATGGGAAGGATGGAGATAGAGGCCTGCTTGGGCAGCCTCCACCAGGCCCAGTGGCCAGGGGTAAGGAGTCTCCTGTCTTACGTGTAGAGAGAACAGGTGTTACATATCCCGTCTGTCCTGTAAGGATGCAAGTGATGGGGCCAAACTAAGTGGATTTTTAATTTGGGGCAAAATAATTCATCTTTTAATGGGACTAATAATTTCAAGATGGAAGTAGATGCACTCAGTAGTACTCAAAAACTGGTAAAGCCTGTGCCTCTCCCATCAGGGTTCACTCCCTGCCATCACTTCAGCCTCCCAGAGTACTAACAGACAAGGTTTCATGTCCATTTCAGTGTGGAGGGCAGTTGAGAAAAAATAATGTAGCCAGCCAGGTTGTGGTCTTTAGTGAAAAAGGATGAGCCATTGAGAATTCCATGCTGCCTTTTTCCTCATCTTTCTACGTATTCCAGGACTTTGCTGAAGAATTAGCAACACTGTCTAACCTGTTTCTAGCCGAGCCCCCCCTGCCAGAACCCCAGCTGAGAGCTTGTGAGTTGGTGCAGCCAAACCGGGGCACTGTGCTGGCCCAGAGCTAGGGCTGAGAAGTGGCCCTGCCTGGGGCATCTCACCAGAACCCTGGACCCCCGCCTCACGAGGAGGCCGAAGTGCCCACTGCGGACCCTCACTGGTTGGGGAGTAGCCGGGTCTACAGTCAGACTTCCTGCTCTGTGAAAGAAGGATGTCGCTGCCTGGCATCCCACCACAAGAATCCTAGGAGGAGGAGAGTTGGCCTGATTCGGGATTATGGCAGAAAAGCCACGATGACAGTCCTGAAGTAGAAGAGGTGGTGTTTTTCTCTTGGATACTAAATGAAACGAGGTGTGTGGGCTTGTCAACACAGAATTCAAGCCTCATTTGCTATCCCAGCAGCTCTTAAAACTTTGTAGTCTTGGAACTCATGACAGAAGCAAATGACTTCCACTTAACTTACGAAGAAAAAAATATGAATCTTGGGAGTCTACATTTTCTTATCACCAGGAGCTGGACTGCCATCTCCTTAAAAATGCCTAACACAGGCCGGCTGTGGTGGCTCATGCCTGTAATCCCAGCACTTTGAGAGGCCTGAGGTAGGTGGATCGCTTGAGATCAGGAATTCGAGACTAGCCTGTAATCCCAGCAATTTGAGAGGCCTGAGGTAGTTTGAATCGCTTGAGGTCAGGAATTCGAGACCAGCCTGGCCAACATGGGGAAACTCCATCTCTACTAAAAATGCAAAAATTGGCTGGGCGTGGTGGTACGTGCCTGTAGTCCCAGCTACTCGGGAGGCTGAGGCACAAGACTTGCTTGAACCTGGAGGCGGAGGTTGCAGTGAGCCGAGATGGCCCCACTGCACTCCAGTCTGAGGGACAGAGCAAGACTGTCCTAAAAAAAAAAAAAAACAGCCTAACAGATGAGGTAGGACTCAACCAACTGAAACCTGACTTCCTCCCACCCGGTACCTTCAGCCCCTGTGCAGGTAGTAACTCTTGAGACCTCTTTCTCTGACCAGGGACCAAGCACAAGGCATTTAGAGCTTTTTAAAATAAACTGGTTTTCTTTAACAAGGGCTTGATGTCTAGTCATTTTCACCTGTCTTTTAAACGCTTTAGAAGGCTGCAGTCTCAGGTGGGCTTTAGGTGGAGCGCTGTAATTATGGCTTTGCTCTGTCCATTACAAAGTGAGCTACCTTGCCTCTTAGAAATGCCTGTATATTCCACTCTAGAGAGCTAGTCTCTGGCAGCAATATCTATTAATTTATTGCCAGTAGTACTGACTTCTCCTGTGTAACTTTATTTGTGGGAGAAAGGGTTAGGATAATGTAAGTTTCCACACACAGGATATTCCCTAGTGAACCACATGGTGGGGCAGTGTTGTTACGCTTCTTAAGGCCGGGGTGTTTGACCTGGCTTGGAGTTTCTCACGGCAAAAGCATTGCTTCTCGATTACAGCAGTATCGAGCTCTATAACTGAGCCATTGATTTTGACAGGTTCACACCGGTAATCCCAGCGCTTTGGGAGGCCGAGAGGATTGCTTGAGTCCAGGAGTTAGAGGTTACAGTGAACTATGTTTGTGCCACTGCACTCCAGCCTGAGCAAGAGTGAGACCCCCATCTCCTTGAGGAAAAAAAAAGCACTACTATGGTCATGTGCATTACCACCAGGAGCTGGGCTGGTAATATAATCCTCAGGAGGACCTAAAGGGATCCACTTGTGTGACCACGGTAGAGCCAGGAAATCCCATCAGCGTAGAAAGTGAAAAATGGGAGTTTTTCTCAGTCACCACCTTGTAATCATACTTCTCCCAAATACCATGCCTTTCCCTTCTCCTCAGCTCAGCTACTTAAAGTTTCTGTATCTGAACCTTTTCCCCTGATCTCTTCATTTTCAAAGGCCTTTATCTTTATCCTTTAAATCCAATTTGTTCTGAATGCCCAGGAACCAAAAAAGGTTTAAGGAATGCTTTCTCGGCCGGGCACGGTGGCTCACACCTGTAATCCCAGCACTTTGGGAGGTCAAGGTGGGAGGATCACTTGTGCTCGGGAGTTTGAACCAGCCCAGGCAACACTGGGAAATCCCATCTTTATAAAAAGTACAGAAGAAAATTGGTCAGGAGTGTTGGTCCATGTCTGTGGTCGCAGCTACTTGGGAGGCTGAGGTCAGAGGATCACCTGAGCCCAGGAGGTCAAGGCTACAGTGAGCCATGATCACGCCACTGCAGTCCAGCCTGGGCTACAGAGTGACACCTTGTCTCAAAAAAAAAAGCTTTCTATGCCCAGAGACCAGCATGGAGTGTGATTAAACCACAGCACTGCCCCCAGGAAGCTTAGGGTCAGTGTCACGCTCATGGCTACCTCTTGACTTGTTCCAGACGACCCAGCTGAGGTGTGTGACATGTGATGGGCAGGAGAGGAAAACCTGAAACCCCTAAGGATGCTGAGACTGAAGGCCTGGGCCATAACCCAGGCCTGGCTAAGGCCCACTGAGTTAAAAACGAGTTCTTAGGAATCTGAATGGAAATTGAACATGCTCCCGATGAAGGGAACTTCCTGCTGGTCTGTGGGAGGCTACTCTAAGGATTATGGAGATAGGCAGCTAGTGGGTCAGTGAACTCATCAGATTCTTTTCTGTATGTCTGCTCTCTAATTGTCAAAGCCAGCTGTTTATAAAATGTGGTCCCCAGACCAGCAAACTTCAGGGTCCCCTGGGACTTCTTGTTAACAAAAATGCTCTGGTCCCTCCCCGGGGCGACCAAACCAGTAACTTGGGGTAGGGCCCAGCCTGGGGGTATAAGAAAGCATTCAGGTGATGCCGATACACCAAAAGTATGAGAACCACCCCGTGAAACCAAAATCTGACTCCACTTTTGCTTTTTGCTACAAGATCCCTCTCAATCTTTTCGGTCGCTGATTCAGTCAGGTCTGGTGTGTGGCTTTTTTTTTGAGACGGAGTCTCAGTTTGTCACCCAGGTTGGAGTGCAGTGGCACAATCTTGGCTCACTGAAACCGCCACCTCCCAGCTTCAAGCGATTCTTGTGCCTCAGCCTCCCAAGTAGCTGGGATTACAGGTATGCACTACCATGCCTGGTTAATTTTTTGTATTTTTAGTAGAGACTGGGTTTCACCATGTTGGCCAGGCTGGTCTCGAACTGACCTCAGGTGATCCACCTGCCTTGGCGTCCCAAAGTGCTGGGATTACAGGCGTGAGCCACCGCGCCCAGCTGGCTTCTCTATTAAGGTGGACAGGGTCACCTCCTGGTTATCCCCCAACTCAGATTCCCATAGGTGGCTCTGCCTCAGAAGCCCCAGGGCACTGTGGTCAGTGTTAGGTGTGGCAGTGACGGCTCTGGATCCTCCCCTTCAGTTCTTACTTGGGCCACAGTTGAGCAACTTACCTGCTTGCTATTTACCCTGCAAAGCAATGCCAAGTTCATGGGAAACTGTACCTACATGTAAACTGAATCTTTGAGACGGCTACGAGTGGGTATTGCCCGTGTGATCTCCAGCTACCTCTGCCAAGCTCGAATCACACACTTAGGCTATCCCGGTGCAGTATTTCATCTACTCTTCACTAGATAAAGTACACAGAGGACTTTCAATTTAAAAATGTTCTGACTTTTTTGGTCAGTAGTCTTAGTAAGAGATTTATATGAAAAGAGGAAGGAGTATATAAATAGGGTGTTAAATATATCATGTCACCAAAAAAATTTACCCGAGAAAAAGAAGTTTAAAAGCAATTTTTAAAAAACCTTCAATCAACAATATATAAATAACTTAGTCTGAGGTAAGGGGGAAAAATGCCCTGCCAACACTTTAGAAAAATACATCTCTGCCACACTATACAGAAATATACCTTCTACCACATCTTCTGAATCCCCAGTTACCCTCCATCTACCAAAGATTTTGGGCACGAGAACTAAAGATGAGAATCTTTCCCACCCCTGCCACTTCCAGGTAAACAGAATATTCAGAGTTCATGTTCAGCCAGACTAAAGTACAAGAACACTGAACCCACTCTCCATCCCTTCCAATCCCATCCTAGGATAGGTGGGGCCAGAGCAGAAATCATGGAATGCTCAGGACTCCACGCCTCCCAAGTGCACTGAGGTCAGTTCTGGAACTGAGCTTCCTCCCAACGAGCCACTCCCCTCCTCTGGGAGTTCATTCACCTCCTCTCCCTCAAAGGACAGTGTTTAATCTCTGAAATTCCTCTTGCCTTGTCAGCAACCAGCATCTGGCTGCCGCTCCCACCAGTCCTCAAAAGAGCTCAGCCCCCGACCCTAACCCCAAATCTGTCCAACCTGGTTCTACAGTGTCTTCCAACTGACCGAGCTCTAGAGTGACGGCTCCGTATCAGAGCATTGTCGCTCAACACCCCGACTCATGCCAAGACCCAAGTGTCTTCTCCTGGGAGAGAAAGGGAGGAAAAAAAAAAAAAAATCAATAAGAAAGTATTTTGCAAAAATTCAAGAGGGAGAAAAGATTCTGAATCTGTGTTCTGGTTTGTGCAGCTGTTTTTTGAACCCTCTTTCTGTTTTGGTATTTTTAACGTCCCATCACACAGTAGAGCTGAATGCTGGAGGTAGATTCAGAGCAGAGTCTTGGCCAGTGGCTGCCTGCTTCCCTACCAGCCTGCAGAAGCACCTTGCCAAAGCACTGCAGTCCCCTGGCTCTGCTGGCTGTGCCCAGTCCCAGTCCTTAAGTGGCTTCTTTGCCGCAGAGTCCCAGAAACAGGAAAGAAAGGTGAGTAATCCAAAAGGGGAGCTGAGCTGCATTCACTCTGGATAGCCTGGGCCAGGAGCTCAGGCCGTTTGCTCTGCACTGGTGCCAGCTGTGACCAAGTACTGACGGGGCTTTGCTGGCATCCGTGGGCCAGTGCTGTCTGCCCCAGTCGGCCACAGCAGGTAGCATCAGCTTTTCCTGCACTGGAGTATGGAAAGTAACAAGGAGCTGCCACAGTGTCTCTCTTGAGCAGCCTGGGCCTGCATCTCAGCAGCACCATCTTGATGGTGAGATGCTAGCTACCAAGGAAGGAAGCCAATCTGGCTATTACCAGTGGCTGCTGTTTGATGAAAGAGCTCAGGAGCTGAGGTGGGAAGCCTGGAGCACCAAGTTCCACCTGAAAGCAGAGAGAGAAGAATTTAAGGTGCAAATAGATTTGACAGAGTGTGCCAGGCGCACTCCAGCCCCATGGAGTTCCCCCAGCCTGTGGTGATGGGAGAAGCACCTCAGATTGTGGCTTAGTGTTTACAGGCCCCTGGGCTCTGCTATTCAGATCTAAGCATTGGTGTTCTCCTCCTAGTGACAAAGTACAAGTCAAGGGACTGGGAGGGGAGAGGTGAACCAAACAGGTCATCACTCTGCCGAGGTTGCTGCTTTTGCCTCACAATGACTCATCTATCTCCTAAGGGCACTGGGATCACCCACAGGATGCTGGTCACTAGGTTTTTGGTAATAGCAGCTTCAGAAAAGACTGATGAACGCCTGTCTCATTACCTTCTCTCCAATTCCCCAGTGACTCCCTTTACTGCAAGCTCAGGAAGCCCTTGAGTCTCCAGGTCTCAGGCCAAAGGGCCTGGGCACTGGAGGATGTTCAACAGCGAGAGAGAAAAATCCCAGGGGACTGTGGGACCAAGTCAGCCTGTGCTGTGAGGCTGGCCACAAAGGATTTATCACCTGGGCCAAGTAGATGACTCTGGTGACTTCCTTCCCTTCCACAGTGACGGGCTGCAAGATCCAGGCACTGGGCAGGATCTCCCCGCGAACCATTTTTCTGCTGGGTCTTGGCATGGATGTATCATACACAGACTGGGCTGCCATGACAGACAGGTGACCCTGCAGACAGAGGGATATGGGAGTCTGCCTGTGTGGTGTGGACAAAACAGGAAAAGGCTCCCATGTAGACAGTATGGTGAAAGGCAACACTGGGCCAGCCTTCAAGTCACCCCTACTCTGGCTCCAGCCCCAACTTGCCCTCCTTCCCCTAAAGGACCTGATGCCCACATAGACTGTTTCTCATGACACTTCAGCCCAAGTTCTTCCCACAACGTCTTTACCACCAAGGCAGGCACCTCTTTGGCTTCTACGCAGACACAACAGAAATCCCGCGGCTGCTTCAATGCACACAGGGTAGTGTTGCACACCAAGTACACTGGAGGGACAGGGATAAGGAGGGTCAGGAGGCCCATGGACAGACCTAGTCCTAAAGCCTTCCCGGCCAGGGAGCCCCCCGCCATCACCCCATCACCTAACACCTAGCTCAACCTAGGCTGAGCAATCAAGGTAACCTGAGTACCTGGCCTCCCAACAGGGCTGCCTCCAACCCTCCATCACCTCTATCCCCCAGCAAGACCCCACTGGGCACACCAGAAACCAGGCCCCGTGGAAGCCTTTCTTCCCTGGGCTCACCCAGGCTGATGCTGTTGGTCACTCGCTGATGCAGCCTTGCTGTCTGGATGGGCTTGTAATACAGGGGCCATAGACTGGGGTCACTGACAGCCGCCCACACGTGAGACAGCGGCTGGGACACCACACCTGCCCCCAGAAAGCCATGCCGAGTGGAAGAAAACACCTTGTAGTAAAGCTGCACCGCCTGCTCCTCACCCTGGTAGCTGGGGGGAGACACCAAGCACAGAAAATAGGACGGAGTCAAAAATGGGCTCCAAGGGTCACAAAGGAGGGGCTCAGAGTGAAGACTCGAGGAATCCAGGTAAGGGAAGGGAGGAGAGAAGCCCAGCAGAGTGACAAGCTTAGGACCAAGACAGACACTGTACAAAGGACCCCACACAAACTTACTTCCAGCCAGCTGTTGCCTGGCAGCTGAAGAGGTTGTGCAAATTATCCGAACAAGCAGCCATTACCTGGGGACACAATGGCCACGCCCAAATTAGGAGGCATCGTAAAAACTAAGCCCCTGGGTTAGTCAGTCTGGCCTGCCTCTGCTCAATTCCCCTTTTCTTTTTTTTTGAGACAGGGGCTAGCTCTGTCACCCAGGCTGGAGTGGAGTGGCGTAATCACGGCTCACTGCAGCGTTAACCTCCTGGGGTTAAGCGATCCTCCCACCTCAGCCTCCCAGTCTCTAGGACTACAGGTACACACCACCACACCCAGCTATCTTTTTGTATTTTTTGGTAGAAACAGAATCTCACCATGTTGTCCAGGCTGGTCTTGAACTCCTGGACTCAAGCAATCTTCCCACCTCAGCCTCCCAAAGTGCTGGGATTACAGGTGTGAGCTATCACGCCTGGCTTAATGTTTTTATTTTTTGTAGAAACAGGGTCTTGCTATGCTTCCCAGGCTGTCTCGAACTGCTGACCTCAAGTGATCGTCCCGCTTCAGCCTCCCAAAATGTTGGGATTACAGGCGTGAGTAACTACACCTGGCCTGAATTCCCCTTCTCTCAAGACGAAGAACCACTGAAGATGCCCATAAGCCTTGGGCTCCTCATCTGTCCAGCTTTGTTCCTACTTTCTCTTCCTGCACACCCAGCAGAGGTCTGGGTAAAGGAATGGTGGGGACAGGTAGGAGCAGTTACTCACATCAGCCATAGAAGTGTCCACGACGTGCTTGGCCAAATCCTGGTAGGAGGAGGAAAAGCAGGTCCCCGAGTTGGACAGACTGGATGGTGAACAGCAGCAACTGCCCAGGGAGGCTCTGCGGCCTACAAGAAATAGGTGGAGACCCTGTGATGGCACTGAACATCAGGGCCTCAGGACAGCAACAGCTCTCCCGCAGACCAGTGACCCACTAAGATCTAGCAGCCATCAGCCCCCGAGTCCCCAAACCAGGCAGCTGGCTATCCCCAACACTCCCCGCAACTCACTGTAGGCGGAGTTCCTCCTCACTGCAGAAAGGCCTCCTCGCTCATCCCCTGTCCATACATCCCTGGAATCAGGCAAGTTTGTGTACCCCTGCAGAAGAGAGGATACTCAGGACTGAGCCGGAAGGCAAGCACAAAATTATCTCCTCTGCCTCGAAACTGCATCTCACAGCTTCCGATAAGATGAATCAACTGCAGTGGTCTTCCCAGCTGGGAATACCAAAGGCTGGACATCCCCCCAGGAAGACCACAGCGATACAAATTAGTATCTAGATTATCTCTGCTCACCTTCTAAGCCACACAGGCAGAGGCTGCTTACAGGGGAGTTCCAGCAGGGATCAGAACCACCAGGGCCTGAGAGTATGGGGTGCTCTGCCAGCCTTCCAAGCTGGGGGGTACCAGGGATCAGTGCATGAGAGGCTCTCTGCACCACCCGGGCAACAGGAATGAGGCCATGGCTAGAGGGGCTTTAGCAGGGTTATAAATGTGGAAGATGGGATGGGAGGAAAAGTAACAGGCTATGAAAAACTGAACGCTTGGCCCCCACCCCAGGTGCGGCAGCCAAGCTAAAGGTCCTAACTCGGGATTAGATGGGGTGACCCTCTGGATCTGCAATGTGGTCACCACACCTCCACCTTAGCAGGCCCCTCAACAACATGACCCTTGACCTCTGCTAGAACTCACAGGCACCCACCATCCTACCTCCATCATCACCTCTAACCTATTGCTGCTCTGATCACAATAAAGGAGGAAACAAAGAGAGTCCTCTCTCCATCCTCATCTCCTCACCTGCTGCAACAAAGCAGGCCCTTCTGCCTCAGGCTCAGTTCTCACGCTGCCCTGTCAGAAGCCCTTCACTACTGATCACCAGTCTCTTCACTTGTTGCTTCCACCTCTTCCTCTTCACTGGATCCTTACTATTAGCCACAACACTTGGCTAATTTTTAAAACACTTTGGGGGCTGAGCGGTGGCTCACGCCTGTAATCCCAGCACTTTGGGAGTCCACGGCGGCGGATCACCTGAGGTCAGGAGTTCGAGACCAGCCTGACCAACATGGTGAAACCCCATCTCTACTAACAATACAAAAAGTTAGCCGGGTGTGGTGGCGGCGCCTGTAATCCCAGTTACTCGGGAGAATCGCTTGAACCCAGGAGGCAGAGGTTGCAGTGAGCTGAGATTGTGCCACTGCACTCCGGCCTGGGCACAACGGAGTGAGACTCCATCTCAAAAAAAAGAAAAAAAAAATTTGTAAAGGCAGGATCTCAACCTGTTGCCCATGTTGGTCTTAGACTCCTGGGCTCAAGTGATCCTCCCCTCTGCAGCCTCCCAAAGTTTTGGGATTACAGGCGTGAGCCCCTGTGTCGGTTTCTCTCATCTTTAAAACCTTCCTCTTCACTCTCCTGCCTTTCACAGATAAGCTTCTTGCAACTAGTCTCGCTGTTTGCCATCTCCCACGTCTTGCTGACTTCTGAACCCACCCTAATCTAACATTTGCCCTCGTCTCTTGGTGACTCTCCTTAGCAGTCACCAAGGTCCACAGTGTCCGTGTGGCTGGATCTTGTGAACAACTTCTGTCCTACACTTCCTGAATCTCTCAGCAAGCTTTGACTTAGCCAGTCTCTCCCTTTTACTGACAGAATCACTTCCAGAGGCTTCTCATCTCTCTGAGTGGTTTTTTTGTTGTTGTTGTTGATTCATCCTCTTCAACTGTTGACATTTTGGGAACCTTTCAAAATTCAGGCCTAGGCCCTATCTTCTCATTCCACAATGTATTCCTAGGTAACCTAATCTGTTCCCAGTGCTGAATTGATGACTTCCAAAAATAAATATCCATAAATTAATAAGTATTGCTGAAAAAATAAATATCCATAAATTAATAAGTATTGCTGAGACACATGGGCAGTCATCTGAAAAAAAAAAAAAAAAAAAGATTGCATAGAGACCCATTTCACAGACATACCAAAATGGATCCCTTATGCTTTATGGATCAAAGATACACTGGGAGATGGAGGAGTATAACGGTATTACAAGAAAACACAATTGAAAAGGTAACTGTGCCTGTAGTACAGTTGCCCGGGAGGCTGGGCAGGAGAATCCCTCAAGTACAGGAGTTTGAAGCATGAGCCACTGCACCTGGCCTCAAAAATGTTTTAAGAAATTCCCAGGCCGGGCGCGGTGGCTCAAGCCTGTAATCCCAGCACTTTGGGACGCCGAGACGGGCGGATCACAAGGTCAGGAGATCGAGACCATCCTGGCGAACACGGTGAAACCCCGTCTCTACTAAAAAAATACAAAAAACTAGCCGGGCGAGGTGGCGGGCGCCTGTAGTCCCAGCTACTCTGGAGGCTGAGGCAGGAGAATGGCGTGAACCCGGGAGGCGGAGCTTGCAGTGAGCTGAGATCCGGCCACTGCACCCCAGCCCGGGCGACAGAGCAAGACTCTGTCTCAAAAAAAAAAAAAAAAAAAAAAAAAAGAAATTCTCAACAATAATTGAATCAAGGAAGAAATACAAACAGGAATCGCAAAATTATGTTAAAAATGAAAATACATGTCACAAGCTATGGGAAATGGCTGAAGCAATGCTCAGAGGGAAATTTTAGCTTTAAAAACATCTGGGAAAAGAAATAAAAATAAACCAATTAATACTATGAACCATATGCCAACAAATTCAGTAACATAAATTACTGACTTAAAAGTTAAACTGACTCAAGGAGAAATAAAACATCTTAGTACAGGCTGGGCGCAGTGGCTCATGCATGTAATCCCAGCACGCTGGGAGGAGGCAGGTGGATCACGAGGTCAGGAGATCGAGACCATTCTGGCTAACACAGTGAAACCGTCTCCACTAAAAAAATACGAAAACATTAGCCAGGCATCGTGGCGGGTGCCTGTAGTCCCAGCTACTCGGGAGACTGAGGCAGGAGAATGATGTGAACCCAGGAGGCGGAGCTTGCAGTGAGTCGAGACGGCACCACTGCACTCCAGCCTGGGCGACAGAAAACAAACAAACAAACAAACAGTACATAGTTTATTTACAAATTTAAGATATTAAATTAGTGATCAAAGAAAATTTCAAGATAGCTTCATTAGTAAAATCTACCAAACATTTAAGGAATTATTACCAATCCTTCCTAGATGCTTCAAAAAATCAGGAGGGAACACTTGCCAACTCATTCTATAGGGCCAGAATTACCCTGATACAAAAACTGGGCAAAGACATCACAAGTAAACTATAGACCAATATCCCTTATGAATACACACACACAAATCCTCAACAAAACACTAGTAAACTGAAATCTAGCAACACATAAAAAAGATCATGTATCATGAGCAAGTAGGATTTGTCACAGAAACACAGGGCTGGCTCAACATACAAAACTCAATGCAATGCACTATATTAATAAAAGAAAAAAAAAAACCCGTAAGATTATCTCAGTAGACACCAGAAAAAGTATTTGACTAAATCCAGTACCTTTTCATGATAAAAATTCAAAAAACTAGGAATATAAGGGAATTTCCTCAACCTGATAAAGGTCAGCTACAAACATCCACAGCTAACATCACACTTAATGGTGAAAGATGGATACCTTCCTCCTCAAATCAGGAGAAAGGCAAGGACATCCGCTCTCACCACATCTAATAAACATTGTACTGGAGATTGTAGCCAGCACAACTGGCAAGACAACAACAAAGGCAGATGGCATGATCTTGCATGTAGAATATCTTAAGGAATCTATTTAAAAAAAAAAACACTAGAACTAATAAATGAATTCACCAAGGGTATAGAAGACAAGAACAATATACAAAAATCAGTTTTATTTCGGCATAATAGCAATGAAGAAACTGCAAATGAAGTGAAAACAATTCCATTTATAATAACGTCAACAGGAATAAAATACTTAGGAATAAATTTAATAAAATAAGCATAAAACTTATACCCTGAAAACTTCAAAACATTGTTGAAATTAAGCCTAAATAAACACAATGGCATCCCATATTCACAGAGCTAAAGACTTAATACTGTTAAAATAGCAATGCTCCCCCAATTGATCTACCGATCAAAGTAATCCCAATCAAAATCCCAGCTGACTTCCTTGCAGAACTTGACAAGCTGATCCTAAAATTCATATGGAAATCTGAGAAATCGCGAATAGTCAAAGTAATCTTGAAAAAGAACAAAGTTGGAAGATGCAGACTTCCTGACTTCTAAAGGTACGACAAAACTACAGTAATGAAGACAGTGTGAGGCTGGGTGCAACAGCTCACACCTATGTAGATCAATGGTATAGAATTAGGAGTCCAGAAATAAAGTCATATGTCTGTAGTCTACTGATCTTTGACATGGCTGCCAAGACAATTCAGTGGGGGAAATAATAATCTTTCAAACCCATGTTGTTGGGAGACCTGGACATTCATACGGAAAAGAATGAAATTCAACACCTAGCTCTCACCCTATGTAAAAATTAACTCAAAATGGGTCAAAGAATGAAATGTGGAAGCTAAAAGCATAAAACTCTTAGAAGAAAACATAGGCATAATCTTTGTGATCTTGGATTAGGCACTCATTTCTGAGATATGAAACCAAAGCACAAGGAACAACAATAAAAAATAAACTGAACATCATTAAACTTTTGGCTTCAGAGGGCACTATATCAAGATAGTGAACAGACACAAAGAGTGGGAGGACATTTTCTGTGAATTATATATTTGCTAAGGGACTCTTAAAAAGACAAATAACCAAATCTTAAAATAGACAAAATATCTGACTAGCTATTTCTCCAAAGAAGATGTATAAATGGGCAAAGGCACGTGAAAAGATGCTCAACACCATTAGCCATCAGGGCAATGGAACTGAAGCCACAATAAGGTAGTACTTCCCATCTGCTAGGACAGCTGTCATCCAAAATAAGTCATAGCTACTGTCCGTGAGGACGGAGGAAACACACTGCTCACACACTGCTCGTGGGAAGGTAAAATAGGACAGCCTCTGTGAAAAGCAGTCTGGCAGTTCCTCTATGATCCTGCAACTCAACTCTAGATACATACCCAAGAGAAATGAAAACATATCCATACAAAAGCTTTACAGGGATGTTCGTAGCAGCAATATTTATTAGTAGGCAAAAAGCAGAAAACGACTTCCTAAAGGCCCATCAACTGAAGAATGGATAAATAAAATGTGGTTTATTCATACAATGGAGTATTACTCGCCATATAAAGGAATGAAGCTCTCATAGATTTTACAACATGAAGGACCCCTTGTTGGGGGTTAAATCACTGTCTCCACTGAAAATATGTTGAAGTCCAAACCCCCCACTATCTGTGAATTTGACCTAATTTGAAAATAAGTTCCTTGCAGATGTCACCAAGTTAATATAAGACAGTACTGGATTAGAGTGGTCCCTAAATCCAGTGACTAACGTCCTTATAAGAAGGTTATGTGGAGCTGGGCGCAGTAGCTCACACCTGTAATCCAACACTTTGGGAGGCTGAAGCATGTGGATCACCTGAGGTCAGGAGACCAGCCTGGCCAATGTGGTGAAAACCCGTCTCTACCAAAAATACAAAAAATTAGCTGGGCATGGTGGTGGATGCCTATAATCCCAGCTACCTGGGAGGCTGAGGCAGGAGAATCGCTTGAACCCAGGAGGCGGAGGTTGCAGTGAGCCGAGATCGTGCCATTTCACTCCAGCCTGGGTGACAGAGCAAGACTCCGTCTCAAAAAAAACAAAACAAAACAAACAAGTTATGTGGTAGCTTACGATGGTAATTCCAGCACCTTGAGAGGCTGAGGCAGGAGGACCACTTGAGGTCAGGTGTTGCAGGTAAGAATGAGCTGTGATTGCACCTCTGCAGTCAGGTCCAGGTGACAGAGACCCTGTCTCTTAAACACTGGGACAGACAGACAGGGAGACAGACACACACAGAGAGACAGAGAGCGCGCGAGTGAGAGTGAGACTGTCACATGAAGGAAGAGACAGAAATGGGAGTGAGTGTCAAGGATTGCTGGTAACCATCAGAAGCCTGGAAAGAGGCCTGGAGCAGATCCTTCTCCCAGGAGCTTTCTGAGGGATATGGTGCTGCTAACACCAACATTTTGGACTTCTAGCCTACAGAACTATGAGAGCATAAGTTTCTGTTGTTTGAAGCCACTCTGTGAGTGGTAATTTGTTACAGCAATTCCAGGAAACTAACACAATCCTGCAAACATTATGCTAAGAGAAAGAAGCCATCAAAAAGGATCATATATTGTATGATTCCATTTATATGAAATGTCCAGAATAGGCAAATCCATAGGGATAGAAAGTAGACTCGTGGTTGCCAAGGGCTGGGGAATGGTGAACTTAGGGAATAACTAGTGGCATGTGGTTTTTTAGGGGGTAATAAAAATGTCCTAAAATTGCTGATGGATACACAACTCTATGAATATACTAAAGCCAATGGATTATAACAACAACAATAAAAAATCAATTAAAGAAGTGCTCAAGGGTCAGGCACGGTGGTTCATGTTTGTAATCCCAACACTAGGAGGCTGAGGCGGGCAGATCCCTTGAGCCCAGGAGTTCAACACCAGCCTGGGCAACAGGTAAAACCCCATCTCTAGAAAACAAAAATACAAAAAGTAGCCGGGCGTGGTGGCACACACCTGTACTCCAGGTACTCAGGAGGCTGAGGTGGGAGGATCACTGGCACCTAGTGAGGTCAAGGCTGCAATGAGCCATGACTGTGTCACTGCACTCTAGCCTGGGCAACGGAGCAAGACCCTATCTCAGAAAAAAAAAAAAAAAAAAAAAAAAAGCATGTCAAAAGGACACAAGACCCAAGCTGAAGGAACTCCAAATAATTAAAGCAGGAACAAGTTGAACCATGAAATTAATAATGACAGTACCGTATTGAATCATTCCCCAAAGAATATGATTCCAAACTGAAAAAAACTAAATAGTCGAATAAATTAAGTGGTGGAAGAAGGGACTGCACTTCCTTAGAGAAAAGTTCCAATTAATAAATGTAGGAGGAGGCCAGGCGCGGTGGCTCACGCCTGTAATCCCAGCACTTTGGGGGCCGAGGTGGGCAGATCATGAGGTCAGAAGATCGAGACCAACCTGGCTAACACAATGAAACCCTGTCTCTACCAAAAATACAAAAAATTAGCTGGGCGTGGTGGCAGGCGCCTGTAGTCCCAGTTACTTGGGAGGCTGAGGCAGGAGAACGGCATGAACCTGGGAGGTGGAGCTTGCAGTGAGCTGAGATTGTGCCACTGCACTCCAGCCTGGGGAACACAGCACCAGACTCCATCTCAAAATAAATAAATAAATAAATGTAGAAGAAATGAAGAGAATACAAAATTGCCACTAAAATATCACAATAATTTTTACAGATAAGACACACTAGTAGACACTAAAATCAGTGGATGAAAGTTTGAGGAAAAACAGGATTTTCCATAGTCTCCAAGATTTTTTTGGGGAGAGAGGGCGGGGGATGGAGTCTTGCTCTGTCTCCCAGGCTGGACTGCAGTGGCACCATCTCGGCTCAATGCAACCCCCACCTCCCAGGTTCAAGCTAGTCTCCTGTCTCAGCCTTCCAAGTAGCTGGGACTACAGGCGTGTGCCACCATGCCTGGTTAATTTTTATATTTTTAGTAGAGATGGGGTTTCACCGTACTGACCAGGCTGGTCCTGAACTCCTGACCTCATGATCACCCGCCTCTGCCTCCCTAAGTGCTGGGATTACAAAGGCGTGAGCCACCGTGCCCAGCCAGTCTCCAAGACTTTTTGAGACAGGGTCTTCCTCTATCCAAGGCCAATGGTGCAATCATGGCTTACTGTAACCTCCATTCCCCTCCAGGCTCAAGCGATCCTCCCATCACAACCTCCCAAGTAGCTGGGACCACAGGCATGCACCACCAACATAGCTTTTGTGTGTGTGTGTGTGTGTCTAGAGATGGTGTATCACTATGCTGCCCAGGCTGATCTCAAAATATTGGACTCAAGTGATCCTCCTGCCTCATCTTTCCAAAGCACTGGGATTACAGGCGTGAGCCACCACATTCAGCCATGTTTATTAATCATAAAGGGCAAAATAGCAACATTCAGTGGAGAGACTCCCAAATACCACCTTAACATCAAAGTTTACATCACCAGAAATAGGACAGACTGGTATCCACTAACCTCTGATACAATGCACTGAGAATAAGGTATTGCATGAGACATACTTACACTATAAAACTATTTGTTGTCTCTCTAAAATTTGAATTTAACTAGCATCCTGTATTTGTCTTTGCCTAATCTGTCAACGCTGAGAAGGGCAAATCACTTTTATGGTATTTTTTGCCAAAAAATGCATAACTTCAATCTAACCATGAGAAAACCACAGACACGATCCTTTTGTAGTTCGTAAGCATGATAATTGGGTTTTCACATAGATGTCTGAGAAGTGCCTCTCTCAAACCTTGTTATGTGAGCACATTACCTGTCTTACATGAAAAAAAAATAAAAAAGAAAGAAAATAACAGCAGATAAAACACATTCCAAAAAATTACTGACCAAGAAGCGAGAAAAGACTGAGAAACTATCACAGCAAAAAGAAACTGATCACAATATACACAGAAATGAACAAGTTAGAATCAAAACTGGCTCCAGGAGAGATGAAAAATCTAAACCAAAAGTTGGCAAACTTTTTCTGTAGGGAGCTAGATACTAAATATTTAAGGCTTTGTGGGCCATTTGAGTAGTTGCAGCTACTCGACTCTCTGCCACTGTAGTGGGAACACGACCATGTACACGAATGGGCATGACTGTATTCCAGTAAAACTTTATTTACAAAAACAGGAAGCAGGTCAGATCTGGCCAAAGAGCTATAGTTTACTAAACCCTGATCTTAACAGACCATTTTCCACTGAAGAAGTTTTTCAAATAACTAATCCCCTGCTGAAACACCAAGCCTTGTCAATTTAAAAGGATTATTACATCAAACTTTAAAAGATGATTCAAAAGAAATTTTTTTTTTGAAACAGGGTCTTGCTCTGTCACCCAGGCTGGAGTGCAGTGGCATGATCACAGCTCACCACACAGCCTCGACTTCCCAGGCTCAAGCAATCCTCCCACCACAACCTCCTGAGTAGCTAGGACTACAGGTATGCAGCACCACGCCTGGCTTTTTTTTTTCCTATGTTGCCCTGTCTGGACTCAAACTCCTGGGCTCAAGTAATCCACCTGCCGCAGCCTCCCCAAGTGCTGAGATTACAGGTGTGAGCCACCATGTCTGGCTCTCAAATTTTTTTACTTTTCGTCCCCATTTCGCTGTCCCACCAAAATCATTCTGATATGCTTAGAGTATATATTTTTGTTTGTATGTGTTCTTGCAAAAAGTTATTGTTTTATATATTGTATTTATATACTATATATGTTGTTGAATTTACAAATAGTAACATGTCTCATTTTATGGGCAGATCATGAGATCAGGGGTTTAAGACCAGCCTGGTCAACATAGTGAAACCCTGTCTCTACTAAAAATACAAAAAAATAAGCTGGGCATGGTGGCAGGCACCTGTAGTCCCAGCTACTAGGGAGGCTGAGGCAGGAGAATCTCTTAAGCCCAGGAGTTGGAGGTTGGAGTGAGCTGAGATTGTGCCACTGCACTCCAGCCTCAGCGACACAGCGACACTCTGTTTCAAAAAGAAAAAAAAAAAAGTTTTTCACTCAGTATTCTGACTAGGTGTTTAATGTGTTGATTTCAATTCTTGCATAGTATTAATATTTCATGTGTGCAACTACCACATTTTACCTATCCATTCTCAGTCATGGATTCAGGAATGTCCTCCAACTCATTGCCACTTCAAATAATGCCTCAATAAACAATTCCTTACATGTTCTCTCATAACCTATGCAAACATTGCTGAGTCATAGGAACCTATAATGGTTCCAACATCCTCAAAGTCTTGCCAAAATCTGGCATCATCTGGCTTCCTAAATTTTGCCAATTTAATAGGTATAAAGTTTTTATTACCTTTTTAACTATTCACAAACCTTGAAAAGGAAAAGTACCACCTTTCTTTCCTATAAAAGGAATATAACATTGATAACAAAACCTAAAGAATATATTGTGAAAGCAAAAACCACAGAAAAATTCAAATATTGATGCAAAATTCTAAAATATAAGTGGACTCCAACAACACATTAAAAGAACAGTACATCAGAATCATAAATATATATTACAGGATTTATTCCAGGATTGCAAGAATAGTTCAATATTAGCCCAAAAATAGATAGATGGACATATGAATGAATGAAATCATCTCCAAAGACTCTGAAATACCCATTCTGGATAAGAATATGCTACAAGCTAGGAATAGTTGGATATTTCCTTAGTATTGCAAAAATATATCTATCTCAGCTCAAAAGCTATAAAAAAGCCAGGTGTGGTGGCTCACGCCCATAATCCCAGCACTTTGGGAGGCCGAGATGGGTGGATTACCTGAGGTCAGGGGTTCGAGACCAGCCTAGCCAACATGGTGAAACCCAAACTCTACTAAAAATACAAAAATTAGCCAGGTATGGTGGCAGGCGCCTGTAATCCCAGCTACTTGGGAGGCTGAGGCAGGAGAATCACTTAAAGATCAAGGTGAAGGCTGCAGTGAGCCAAGATCACGCCACTGCACTCCAGCCTGGGCAACAGAGCGAGACACCATCTCAAAAAAAAAAAAAAAAGTAATTAAGATAGGTACATGTATTAGCAACTACTAAATTAGTAGTGCAGGTCTAGAGAATCAACCAAAAAAAATAGATGCAAAATTAATTCACAGCAATCAATAGCTTTAATACATACAAAATAATCAGAAGATATAAAAGAAGGAAAAACCTATTTAGAAAAGTAACAAAAACCTTAAAATACTTAGAAATAAATCTGACAAGAAATGTGAGAGACATATGAAGAAAACTTTAAAAACACAAAAAGAAAGCTTGAAACTAGTATGTTCTTGGTTAGAAAATTCTATAGCATAAGATGTGGTTTCTCCCTAAGTCAATCCACATGATCCTATTAAAAACAGTAACAAGGGCCAGGCGCGGTGGCTCACGCCTGTAATCCCAGCACTTTGGGAGGCCGAGACGGGCGGATCACGAGGTCAGGAGATTGAGACCATCCTGGCCAACACAGTGAAACCCCATCTCTACTAAAAATACAAAAATTAGCTGGGCGTGGTGGCAGGCGCCTGTAATCCCAGCTACTCGGGAGGCTGAGGCAGGAGAATGGCGTAAACCTGGGAGGCGGAGCTTGCAGTGAGCTGAGATCCGACCACTGCACTCCAGCCTGGGCAACAGAGCGAGACTCCGTCTCAAAAAAAAAAAAAAATAAATAAAATAAAATAAAAACAGTAACAAGTTCTTGCAATTGAACTAGACAAGGTGAGATCCTAAATTTCATATAAACAATAAACAACAGGCCGGGCGCAGTGGCTGGCTCATCCCAGCACTTTGTGAGGCCGAGGCAGGTAGATCACTTGAGGTTAGGAGTTTGAGATAAGCCTGGCCAACATGGTGAAACCCCATCTCTACTAAAAATACAAAAATTAGCCAGGCATGGTGGCGGGCGCCTGTAATTCGAGCTACTTAGCAGGCTGAGAGGAGAATCGCTTGAACCCAGGAGGCGGGGGTTGCAGTAAGCTGAGATCGCGCCACTGCACTCCAGCCCGGGTGACAGAGTGAGACTCCATCTCAAAAAATAAAAAATAAAATAAACAAAAAACAGGCTGGGTGCAATGGCTCATGCCTGTAATCCCAGCACTTTGTTCAGCTGAGGTGGGCGAATCACCTGAGGTCAAGAGCTTGAGACCAGCCTAGCCTCCACTGCAAAACCCCATCTCTACTAAAAATACAAGAAAAATTAGCCAGGCGTGGAGGATAAAGCAGGCCTGTAGTCCCAGGTACTTGAAGTACTGAGACAGGAAGAATCGCTTGAACCTGGGAGGCGGAGGTTGCAGTGAGTCAAGATGGCACCACTGCACTCCAGCCTGAGTGATAAAGCAAGACTCCATTTAAAAAAAAAAAAACAAACAACAGATCAGTAACACAGAGGCACAGCAAGATGACAGAATAGGACCCTTCAGTGATAGTTCCCCACAGAAATATCAATTTGAACAACTATCCACACAAGAAAGTATCTTCACTACAACTAGGAAAACCAGTTGATAGACAGAAGTACTAGATTTTACAAGGAGAAGAAGATGCATTAAAGAGAATAGGAAGGACAGTTTCATATTATCTGCACCAACCCTCCCCCAACCCTAAGTAGTGATGAGAGACACTGTCCACATGGCAGAAGAAGAGGTTAGTGGACATGGGACTTTGCCTTAGAGCCCAGTACTAAGTCTGCCACAGTAATACGCAGAACCAGAAAAAAACCCACAGCCTAATTCCAGGCCTGTACCCATGGACAAAGACTGTGGACCCACACTAAGCACCAGAAAAGAACTCACCACCCCATCAGGATGAATGTGATTCTCACATCACTGGCCAACTAAAGCGTTCTTGGGCCCCAAATAAATTTCAGCATGGTAGCAGCCTGGGCCTTGAGCATGACGCATTTCCACCCTGGTCCAGGAGGCCATAGGCTTCAGGTGTAACCCTGCATAGCATCAGTTGTGGCAGCCACAGGATTGCCCACATCACCTTTCCCTCCAACTTTAGGCAACATGGTGCAGAGAAAGACACCATCTGCTTGGGGGAAGGAGAAGGAATTGTGCGTGGGACTTTTCCTTGGAACCCAGCACCAAGCCCAACAACAACAAAACCAGCACCTGGTTCAGGGCCCTGGCCAGCATTACCACACAAGGTGGGGAACTCTCCCTGGGTCTTACTCAGGTCCATCTGGGCCAGGGACATTGGAGTCTATAACAGAGTCCCAGCTACACAGGCTTAGAGTGCCCTCTAGTGCTAAGAGGGCTACAGTGACCACAGGCTTAGGGAACTCAACAGTTAGGCTCCTTTGAATTCCTGGAAGGCCCTCTGAAGGACAGGTACAAACAAGGCCAGATTGCGAAAACTGGAATAAATATCATTTTTTTTCAATGCCCAGATATTGACATACATTGGAAAGCATCAATAACATTGAGGGAACTATGACCTCACCAAACCAACTAAATAAGGTGCCAGTGACCCATCCTGAAGAGATGGAGAAGTATAATCTAATACAGGGAATTCAAAATAGTTGTTTTGAAGTAGCCCAACAAACTTAAAGAAAGCACAGAGAAATAATTCGGAAATCTATGTGAGAAACTTTACAAAGAGATTAAAATAATCTTTTAAAAACCAAACAGAAATCCTGGAGGTGAAATACATTGAACAAACAAAAATGCATTACAGGGTCTCGACAGCAGAAATTATAAAGCAGAAGAATAAATCTGTGAGCTCAAAGACAGGATATTTGAAAATACAGAAGAGGAAAGAAAAAAAAAGAATGAAAAAGAACAAAAGAAAGTTTAAA